AGCAACGCCCGACCAAAGCAGCTCAAGCCAGGGGGGATCTCAGCCTCGTCGCCAAATGCCGTGCGCCAGTCGTCAGTCAAGTAGGCGAAGCAGCGGGACTGTGCGTGACCAGGTGTCCCACAGGTCTCACCAGCTCGACGACCTATGCGAATGACGTACGGGCAGCGATCCGGACTCGGAGACGGCCCACGCTGGTAAAGCCACTCACGAAGCTGCCGGGGCGTAAGGGTCGGACGCCGCCGTAGCTGCATCTGGCCTTCGCCAGATACTCCGCACCAAATAGCGTCACAGTGACTCCTACTACGGCCGCCACCACTCCCACTGCTGCCACCACCGCCGTCACCACTCCCACCGGTACGACAAAGTGAAGTCATGGCGGGCAAGCTAGGAGGAGCGCGACCTCTAGGGCAGTACGGAGTGAAGGTAGTAGCACGAGTAGCAGCAGCAGCAAGAGCAGCAAGGCGGCGCGCGGGCAGAGCAGGGCGGAATGCAGCCATAGCAGGGCAGTATCAGGAAGCAGCAGGTAGTAGCTCCTGTCAGAATGTTATTATCTAGCCTGTAGTGGGGTGTTCTATAGCGAGTACAACCCAGTTAGGGTTTGCTATATGTATCCCAACTGCTGCTAGTGAAACCCCCTCTTTCGTCATTCTTCTTTTGCACCTCTCTCATTCTGACATGCTATCAAAGCAGGTCGACCCCCTTGGGTTGATCTTGTGGGTGGGCCCGCCACCTAACTGCTTCCGCTGCTGTTGTGCTTCTCGCGCGCCTCGGGTGTGCGCCGTCTTCTTCCTGCCGCGCACTCGGGGCGCGCGGCGAGTTTCTGCCCGCCGTGCGCCCCGAGGCGCGCGGCGGTTTTCTACCGTGGGGGACCCGCGCGCAACACCCCGCCCTTCCCGTCGCGTCGCCCTGCAGGGCGCGTGCAGCCCGTCTGCCCGTCGCACGGCCTTGGGGAGCAGCGCGCGGCCCCCGCCCTTCCCGTCGCGTCGCCCTGCAGGTCGCACGCGGGTCTGCAGGCCGCGCGCGGCCCGTCTGCCCGCCGCGCGGCCTTGGGGAGCCGCGCGCGCCCCTCGCCTGTCCGTCGCGGCGCCCTGAGGAGCTGCGCGCGCGCCCTCCCCCGCCCGTCTGTCTTGGCGCCCTGGGGAGGAGCGCGCGGCCCCTCCTGTCCCGTCCCCCCCCCTCCCGTGCTGCCCATTCCTCCCGTGCCGCCGTGCGTTCCGCGGTGGTGGGGGGTGTGGGGTGGCAAGCATGGGGGTGCGCGGTGTGGGTGTTCCCCTCCTTGTTCGTCTCCCACTGCTGCAGCTGCTGCTGAGGGGGGTGGAGGTGTGGGAGCTGCGGGGAGTGGAGTTGGGGGGGTGACGTGGGGGTGGAGCTAGGGGTGCAGCAGGGGGTGTGTGGAAAGAAGGTGGGACTGTTTGGGGAGGCTGAGAGGAGGCCGCCGTCGTGTCGTTCGCAGCGCCTGTAGTCCGGAGCCGTCGTGCTCTCGGTAGCCCAGAGAGCCTTGCTGTGCCGGTCGTCCGTGGGTCCGTTGCTCCTGCCGCTCGTCGTAGCCGTAGGGCCTGTTACTCCCTGTAGTCCGGGGCACTTGCCGCCGGTAGCCACTGTGCTAGTCCTCCTGTTGCCCGTGTGTCTGCAGCTTCAGCCGTCATCTCCCATCTTCTCTCCCTTCACAATTCCTCCTCCCCCTCACTTGCCCTCTGTGATCGCCTCTAGCTATGCTTATAATTGTGAACTATTACTATGCCTGCTCATTGTGCTGATTACACCCCACTTTGGCTATGGGGGTGTGTCAGAATGTGATTATCTAGCCTGTATTGGGGTGTTTTATAGCGAGTACAACCCAGTTAGGGTTTGCTATATGTATCCCAACTACTGCTAGTGAAACCCCCTCTTTCGTCATTCTTCTTTTGCACCTCTCTCATTCTGACGGCTCTTAGGGCAAAGCACCTAGGGCCCTTTTTATATTATTATTATATTAATTTTATTTAGGGTTTAGCAGGGCGCTGGCGAAGGGCAGGGCGCTGGCGCAGGGCAGGGCGCTGGCGCAGGGCAGGGCGCTGGCGCTGGCGCAGGGCAGGGCGCCGGCGCAGGGCAGGGCGCTGGCAAAGGGCAGGGCGCCGGCGTGGGGCAGGGCGCTGACGCAGGGCAAGGCGTGCGCGAGGCAGCGCGACGCGGGGTAAGGCAGAGCGTGCGCAGGGCAGCGCGACGCAAGGTAGTGAGGTAACGCGGTAACCGTAGCCGGAAGCTAAGTATGGTAGGCCCGGAAAAAAAAAAAACAAAAAACAAAAGAGGCGACGAAATCGTCTTAGGGTTGCGAAGCAACTATGCTTTAGAATTAGATTTTTATAATGATATGGAAAGAAAAACATATGTAACCAGTGATTGAGTTAAATACTGAAGTTGTAGTTGTAATGTAACAATTTGTAATGTAGAGGATAAGTGGAGACCTTCGTGACAGAGTCGGTGCTGACCGCTCTCCCACAAGATTTAGGGACCCGCACATACGAATTGCCAAGTGCGTCTTCTAATGTTTGCACCAAAGCCTATGAGCTGGCCAAGGATCGAAAAAATTCAGTCCATTTCTTTGCGACGAAATTGTAGTTAGGGTTTCATTCTTCTTTCTTTTCGTGCTATCTCGTTTCTCTCTCGCTGCTCCTGCTTCTTTCACAACTACCGTGGCTTCCGCTACCCACCCTAGTCCACCTCGTCACGTATGTTTTCTAAGTCTTTGTACTAGTAGTTCTAGATCTAGTTTCTTTCCTCTTCGTTTCCCTCCTTATAACTTTCGTTTTTCAACATTCTTGAGTTAGTTAACTCACCATTAACTATGTGAAATCTTGTGTGCTATGTCGAATTAACACCTGCATATCATCGAGCTAGCTTAGTAGGTCGAATTATCCCGTGCACGCCATTTCGACCAAGCTTAGTAGGCCAAATTAGGACATCAATGGGAATTCGACGTTGATAATTAGGTTGAAGTAAGACCTGCAGGCCATGTCAACCATCAAGGCCTGCAGGTTATTTTGACCTAGCTTATATTGTCCGTCATCTCTTTCTTGGTAACTATGGTTTCAGTTTTTCATACATCTTCTTCTCTCCCGTCGCCCCTCCTCTCTCCTGTCAACCTTCCTCTCTCTCCTTACTACGTCGCTCTCGCTGTTCTCGCTCGAAGTACTACCGTGCCTGATTAAATTGTTTCTTTAAAGCTCGCGGCCCAAATTGTTCAACCTTAGTAAGGTTGACCTTTGGTTGGTGGGAGAAGAAGTTGACTTGTTGGGAGTTGGGTTGTTTCCTTTCGCCCAGTTTCGCGCTAAACCCTTGGGGTTTTCGTTGACACGGCAAACCCCTGGGAGCAACCTGGGTTTGCTTCGAGAGTCCCAAATTGCAATCAACATATTGTTGTTCCCTGCTCTCCCATTCGACAAAAAAAAACTGGCCAATCAGATTGCATCTCACTTCTCGTAACCACCCTTCGCAACCCAAACAGCACTCAAAACATCACCCCCGTCAACCTTAGTAAGCTTGGCCAGCGCGCCCCGCAATTTGGGCCGCGAGCTTTAAGGTGGCATTGGGCACTGAGAGGGACGTGGGTTATGCGGCTCTCTCCTTTTGGAACTACGAATTAACTTGGATTTATTTTCTGTTAGAAATTTTCATCGGGTGAACCATTCAGCCTTGGTGTTCAAACATTACTCACGCTCTCCCCGTCGCATCTCCCTCGCGCTCACGCTCTCCCCTCCCATCTCCCTCACGCTCACGCTCTCCCCGTCGCATCTCCTCTCGCTGCCCCTCGCCCTCGCATTTGCTAGCGAGCCCCGCTGTTATTCGGCTATCTCGTCTGTCCCGTCGCCCTGCCATAGCCCTGTCGCCCTCACAATCACCCCTCCCTTCATCTCGCCCTCACGATATCCATCCACTTCCGTCGCAATCGATGCCTCTACTGCACTTAGTCATATTCTTCAGTGTATGTGTGTGCTTGGGATCTTGTCTGTGCTGTTGCTAGATATGCATTTGATGAAGTCACAACTCGTCAAATGGTTGCACTGCCTTGCACGTCGCAGCTCTTTGCGCCAAATTCGCACATCTGTTTGGCTGCCAATCAAAATTGAGAAAGAACTTTGTTCCTTGTTCACTCCGAAACTTGTCTGGAGCTGGAAAAAAAACACACGCACAGTACTTCAACCTTCTACAACACTACAAAGAAACTTGGGTCTTCAAGTTGGACCCAACTAGAAGGGGGGGGTCACTATTTTAGCTGCTGGCTTTAAACAAGGACTACAAAATAATATAAGTGAGATATTGTAAGGAAATTCCCTTTTCCTTACTTCGCATCTCTGCTCAACGCGTACATCACTGTAGCACCTCAGTCAGCACCGTTACCACTCGCGACCATCGCATCATTCATCATCCCGCCATTTTCGCACATCGCATCCCGACCTCACGGCTCGGCTGGTAACCCGCGCTCCGGGCCTACGCTTCGACACGTTCCCAACCTCAGTCCCAGGCTCGTCGCGCGACCATTACCGTTACCACTGTAGTTTCGCTATATATTCTTCGCTCATACCTTCGCTCATTGTACTCTTGCTTCGATAGTGCAATTCTCGTTCGTTCACTCAATTGCACTCGTAACAGATATTCTGATTCATAACATTGCCTGGATCAGCTGAGAGTGCTGATGCCGGTTGCTGATTTGGCATGACATTGACCTATGAACTCTTGAAGGGACACGTGTTCCAGACACCAGAGAGGACGCCACGCGGCCCCTGTCCTGCCACACCTTGTTAACTATTGAAGGTCTGTTCTATTTTGCCATTTCAGGTTAGAAATATCACATCTTCGGGTGTCCAATTTCACCTGAAATTGCGATGGCAGAATGTCATGGAACATGTTTCGAGAAATTTGAGCCGTAAACACGACCTCAAGGAATTGACTATTCCATCCCCCACCCCATTTCACACCTGAACAAATAGGTCACGTTTGTGATTATCCGGAGATAATCAATCATGGCTGCAGTCCCTGCATTTCGAGTCGCCGCATCCTTTCGGCCACTATCTACAGCTGCCGCGCCGTCTACTTTGTCGTCCGGAAAGTCCACGTCTTTCGGCTGCGCCTCGTCGCTCTGCCCATGCACCCCGTCAGCAGCTTTCCGCGCCACCAAGGGAAGGCAGACCGTCGTGACTCCGCGTGCTGACTTGGACAACGATACGGTGAGCTTCCCTGTTCCATGCATCTTCAAGAAGTCCGAAATGTGCACTAGTCTAGTTGTTCCCCAATCCGCATCACGTATATTGAAGCTCTAGGCAAAGGAAAGGATATCATTTGAGTGGCCAGCGTGAACCTGCGAGTTCACTCGTCTTGCTTGACCATCGAGCTAGCTTGCAATTGCAAGCTCGAACCTATTCCACTCGTTTACGCATAAAATCATCAGACAAAATGTTAATTTGACAAAATGTTAATTTGACATGTTTAATCAGAAATCCGTTGCTGGAAGGGTGGACTAATTTGCACGACCCTATCTTATCCCGTGATTCCAATCGTCAAATTGTCTGTGTTGGTTGGGGCGGCAGCTTGTGGGGATCGGCGTGGGTTTGGCGGGTATCGCGGTGGGCATCGGCATTCCCGTCTTCTACGAGATTGCCGTCAAGGGATCGGTGAGTCTTCATGGCGAAGGTGAGGCGTCAAGGCGACTGTGAGCCGTCAAGGCGTCGGTGCGCCGTCAAAGCGTCAGCGAGTAGTCAAGGCGTCGGTGAGCCGTTGAGGGGACCGGGAGTTGCCGCAGCGTTCATATCCCAGCTTCTCTTTGCAGTAATACCTCGCGCGTCGTCCTTCCTCTCGTCGCGATTCTCACTGTCGTTGGTCGTCGGAGAACACATCCGCGCATCATCTCTGCCGCGCTGTGGTCCTTCCTTGCATGCCAAGCGTTCACTTGCGCCCGTATGTGCTCATGTGCCTGCATTGCTCCTCGCGATCTTTCTGTGCCGTTTCCCCGTGTGCAGGAGAAGCGGGAGAACGACCAACCATGCTTCCCCTGCAAAGGCACTGGCGCTCGTAAGTCCCTCTCTCTTCCCCCGACAGCACACTCAGTGACGCTGCGAAGGAACAGCACCATGCCTGTGCGGTCCGCGTAATGGAGAAAATAATCCAGTGTCGCCATTGCCACCACCTGTGCGAGGCACGATTGTAAAAAAATGTAGAATTTATCAGATGTGCGACCTTAATGTTGATCTCGGATGTCTCCATGTCTGAAACGCATGCCCTGAGCTCCGTCCCTGCCGCCCTTCCCCACCATTTATGCATGCATGCTCGTATTCTGCAATGCACGCTGTGGAGATGCAGGGTCTGCCAGCACATCATGGCCACACCACACCTCACTCCCTAACGTGCATAGCATGATGCGCCTGCCTTTAACCAGCTTCGCTCTCTCCCCTACTCCCGTTCTCTCGTTCTCTCGTTCTGCCTTCCTATCCCGGCCCTCCGTCTCCCCAACACAACAACTGCGGCTGGCAGAGTCGTGCCGGTTCTGCCAGGGCACGGGGGTGGTGGTGGTGGAGCTGGGCGGGGGCGAGAGGGAGGAGTCGGAGTGCATCAACTGCACCGGCAAGGGCGCCATCACCTGCACCACCTGCCAGGGCACCGGAGTGCAGCCCAGATACCTCGACCGCAGGTGAGGGGGAAAGAGTGTATAATCGAGCATTTTGACTGGAGCTGAGGGGAGAAGGAATGGTGGAACATCTGGACTGTAGGTGAAGGGGAGCTTATAGCTGGAGGTGAGGATAAGAGAAAGAAATGTGAGAGTGGTTGGTTGGTATGAGTTCACAGACATTATCAAAATCCAATGAACCTGGAGCCGTACGCTCATATCATTCTTGATCAAGCTCGCTTAGTCTCTATCTTCCCATTCTTTTCTTTTTGTTTTTTTTGGTTTAATGCAGGGAGTTCAAGGATGATGACTAAGCCCAATATTTCGTTTTTGTGGACACCCAGTCATGCGCTGTATGTTTGCAATGTATACCCCTGGTTTGGAATATCAAAAGCCTAATTTTCTATCAGGAAAACGAGATAGCAATTTTGAGTACACTTGACCTGTGTCAACTTTATAGTGGATTGCTGTAACAAGGTGTGTGCAATCTCTCAACCAGCCGCAATTCAATCCCAAACGAGATCGCGATCCGCGATGTTCGCAAATTCGCTGACGCCCAGTGAAACGACACCAGATGAAGGGTCGCATTGCAAATTGTAGCTATCTTCTTGGGAGCTTCACGCGCAAATAAACCAGGCATACGGTAGTTTCTCGAGCAGGTTAGCGAGCATGAGTTTGGAGTCCACCTTTTGAAGCAGCTCTCTCGTGATTTTAACAGCCTAGATTTACTAGCCGTTGCTTAGCTATCAACCAACCAGAATCGTCTGAACGACACGCCATGTGAACCGCAATCCTAAAACTAGCAGAGTTCCACCTTTTACTCGTGTAATTCCTACAGTTGGTTTATCCTCCTGTAGGCGATTTATCCGAGCCTTACTTCCAGGGGTAGTATTTCGGTTCTCATCACACCAGTAGCTTCTTCCCGTCGCTCTTTTCACGTCAGCATATTACACGCTCTCTTCTAAGAACGACTGTATCGTAACTCCATGAGCTGCTAATCCCAACACCCAAAAACATCCTCAAACCATCAATGTCCCAAGAATAAGCACGCCTTAACGTGTTGGATTCAGGTATCCTTAGCGTGTCATCATGGCGGATATGCCTGAAAATGAAGCGTCCGACCTATTTGGACCTCTGAGTCCAGGAGGAAGCACAGACGGAGGAACAGATTCAGGGTTGTTTTCAAGCCTACCATCTAGAATGGTAGCTCTGGCTTGCACGTGTGTGGCAATACTGATTGCGTTGCGCCATATGCTGATGCATCTGCGGTACTACACAGAGCCTACCCACCAAAGATACATTATAAGAATAATCTTCATGGTCCCTGTAAGACCCTCGTTTGTCCCGCTTCCAGCAGGTATACGGGCTTTCAACAAGCGGACAAAGATCTGAAACGCCTGTGTTGCTTACAGGTGTATGCTGCCATGTCGTATGGTGCTTTGGTGGCCAGTGACTACGCCATGTACTTCAAGACTGTCCGAGACGTGTAAGAAACGAACCTCCACCCCCGCCATCAGTTGTTCTTCTCTCTACTTCAGCATTAAAATCAGTAGCCACCTTTGATTGATCCTGAATCGTTGTCCTGCACAGGTACGAAGCATGGGTCATCTATAACTTCCTGTCTCTCTGCCTGGCGAGGGTGGGAGGGCCAGGCGCAGTGGCCATGAGCCTCACAGGGCGCGTTCTCAAGCCCTCAACGCTTCTCCTCACGTGCTGGCTCCCACCCATACCGCTGGATGGGTGAGCAAGTTTTTTTATAAGCACAGAAGATAGGGACAGGGGCACTGAAACAGCCCTTTCTGAAGGCATTGAGTACACATGACCAGAATGTCCCATGTTGACAGCAATTCTGTTGCATGTTCATCTGTTCAAGGAAGCACTGCATGAACACCATGCATTTGCTCAATTCAAACCCTCCCACTTTGTTGACCAACATTACAGGAAACCATCAAGCTAATAGCAACCCTTGGTCCCTTTTATGCCTCCCACTTCTTCCTACCACGTCCCTCCTCTCCCTCCTCCTATCGTGCCTGCATGCGCCAGGAACTTCATCCGTCACTGCAAGCGCGGCTGCCTGCAGTTTGTCTTCATCAAGCCACTCCTCGCCGGGCTCTGCCTCGCCCTCTACGCCACTGGCCTCTACGAGGAGGGCGTGTTCGCTGCCAGCAACGGGTACCCCTACGTGACATGCGTGTACATGGTGTCATACTCCCTCGCGGTCTACGCGCTGCTCTTCTTCTACTTCGGCTGCCACGACCTGCTGCGCTCCTTCAACCCCATCCCCAAGTTCATCATGATCAAGCTTGTTGTCGTCCTCACCTACTGGCAGGTAACCAGCAGTAGCCTGGACCAGCGAGCAATTAGATTTGTTTTAACTGGACCTCACCTACAGGTTGCTAATTACAGCAGCAGCCTCTCACACCCCCATGTTCACCCCTCCTCAAGCTCCTCTCTGTGCTTACTTCCTCCCACCAACCGCCACCCTCCCTTCTCCCCCCACCCTCCCCAAGATGATAGTAGTGTTTTTGAAGGGCCATCTGGGCCTGGTGCGCTCACCCAGTGTCGCAACAGACCCGCAGAGCCTGCTGCTGTGTTGCAAGATGCCTTTCTTTTCCCCCTCTCATCCGCCCCTCGATCCGCAGGGCATAGTGGTGTTCGTAGCGGGCCATCTGGGTCTAGTGCGCTCCTCCACCGACGCAGCAGACCTGCAGTCTCTGCTGCTGTGCTGTGAGATGGCCCTCGCTGCAGTGGGCTTTGCGTGGGCCTTCCCCGTGACGCCCTTTGCTGCTGCCAGCGTGGGGGGCGGTGGGGGGCGGATAGTAGAGGAGGTGGGGGGCTTCTTTCAGAGGCTCAGGCATGCGGCAGCTGTGGGGGATGTGGTGGACGACACTGTTCACCAGGTGAGTGTTGAGTCGACTCTAATGTCACCTCAGTAGAGGAGGAGGTGGGGGGGTTGATTCAGAGGCTCAGGCACGCGGCGGCTGTGGGGGATGTGGTGGACGACACTGTTCACCACGTGAGGCTTGTTGCTTGTCCAACCACCTGCGTGCTCAGTGCGCCACCTTTGCTTGCCATGTCGTGCCACCTCTGCTTGCCACCATGACTGCGTCTCCTCTCCCTGCCCACCCCTCCGTTTCTCCGCATCGTACCATATTTCACCTGCAACTCTCCACATTCACACCCGCCGGCTATCCCCGATGTACCACGGCTACGGTATGTGACTATAGCGATGGAACACCACATCTTAATTGGCATCTTCTCCCACCCCGCCCCTCCGCCCCACCAGTTCTCCCCGACCTACCATGACTACGTGCTCTACAGCGATGGCTCCACACAGGCCAAGCACTTCCGCACTCGCACGTTCGTGCCCATGGGTATGTGCTGACATGGGTATGTGCTGACATGGGTATGTGCTGACACTAGGAAAGTCTCCAGCCCACTCCCCCTCTCCCCATTTCTCCTCCTCCCCTGGCTCGACGTGCCACTGACAGGCCGGGAGATGGAGGCATACCGCAAGGACGGCAAGATCAACTCCATCCAGTCGCCCGACTACATTCTCGCCCCCCCTCCTCCTCTTCATCCCTTCCCCTGCAAGCCCTGCGCCACCACCACCACTGCCCCCGATACCACCACCGGCTCCACCACCACCATGAGCAGCAGCGCATCTGGCCTGGCATCTGACACTGCCATACGCACCCTGGCGGCTGACTCGTTAGGAACTGCTTCAGGAGACCCGTTTAGAGAAGTTACTAACAGTGTTGGAACCAGTGGTACAAGAGCCGCAGCAGCAACTGTAACAGCCCCTGCCAGCACCATGGTTACTGAGTTACCACCTGGCACAGCACTGCTAGACTTCCTGTCTGGGAGTGGGACCAAAAGCATGGTGACATGCCAGGAAGAAGCACCGCCGGGCTTGCTTTACAGGGCCAGCATCCCCTGTGGCAGCGACCAGATCACTACCCTCTTCACCTCTCCCAGTGACACCCCTGGAAGCACACAGACCAAAAGTGGCAGCAGTTACAGCAGCACACAGACTAACCATGGCAGCAGCTACAGCAGCAGCTATGGGGACATGCAGGGTGTGATTCGTGCGAAGGGGTTGTGTGGTGAGAGCAGCAGGGAGGGAGGGAGGAGGGCAGGGCTGTTTGAACGGCTGACTGATGAGAACGAGTATGGTAGCGCTGCTCATGGTGGTGGCGGTGGCGGTGGCGGTGCGGGTGTGAGTGGTGTGAGCAGGAGGGCTAGTAGTAGGAGTGGGAAGAACGAGACGGAGTGGAGAGAGAGTAGGAGTGGGAGTAGGAGTGAGGGTAGGAGTGGGAGTGTGCACAGGCATTCGAGTGTGAGCAGCAGGAGCAGTGAGGGAGGCAGTGAGAGAGCAGCCTTGTACGGCCATCACCGCGACTCAACCCAGGGCGGCGGGATCGGAGGCAAGGGGAGGAGAGCGGAGACGGGTAGCGAGGGAGGGGAGGCGAGGGAGAAGGAAAAAGATAAGGAGAAGGAGAAGGGGAGGAGGGTGGGGCTGTGGAGTGCGCGGGGGTTAGTGAAGGTATTAACACGGGGATCCATGGATTTGGGGCTGGTGGTGGACGAGGAGGACCTCATGGAGGAAGGGGATGCAAGGCGCGAGCTGGAAGGTGTGGTGCAGCGGTGAAAGGGAGTGTGCATGGGCTGGTGAAGATGTGAATAAGGGGATTCATGGACTTGGGGGGGCTGGTCGTGGATGAGGAAAACATTATGGAGGAAAGGGATGCGAGGCAAGAGCTCGAGGGAGTTGTGCAGCAGTGAGGGGGAGAGCGATGGGATGGCGTGATGGGAGGAGGTTTGTGGACAGGGTGAGGTGAAGTGATGCGGCAAACAACGATAGGCCAAAGTTGATGTGAGGTCAGCGGAATCCAAATCCCACATGTGGGCTGTGCGTACAGGGTGAAGGGTGTGAGAATCATGAGATTGCGAAGGAGGATGCTGCATGTCGCTGGCTTCTGTCTGCCTGTTGTAAGCTAATGAATCCAACATATGCCAACTCAACCTCATTGATGGCTATGAAATGAATGTACAGAAATCGAGTTTGCAACAGAAAAGTGGGCAAAATTGAAGATGAAACAATAACCTAGAAAAGAAGCTGGTGATACAAAAAGAGGACCTCACATGCGAGCATGCCATTCCCCACCTCACTTCACTGCTAGCTGTCACTGCTGCCGGCCGTCACTGCTGCTGACTGGCTGCTCTAGCTGCCTTCAGCTGCAGTGCACGTTGCTTCCACGACGGCACTTGTGCACGAGCTGCTGCCTGCTCATAGCGAGGATAACAGGAGACAGAAACATTGGATGGAGTTATGGCTAAGTTGGATATTACGCTTACGTTTACATATGTTTTACGTTACACACGAGGGTCTGATATTAGTTTACGTTTGCGGGCATAATTTTTTTTTTAGCTGACCGGCTTGAAAAAAAACTCAGGGGGGCTGAATATGGCAATATAACCATATATGATAATCTCTAGGCACAAAAATATATGGCGCCACAAAGTGACGCATGTTACTTCAGCGATGTGTACAAAACCAACTTGCGCTTTGCCCTCCCAATTTCACGCGATATCGCGTGAGTCTCCCGCCTCTCCTCAATACACATGATGCTCAACTTGTGCCCGCGAAATTGCCCTGCCCATATTCGGTTCGCTGCTCACGAACAATTGGTGCCGGGAAGTTGCACCTGGTTTACAGCCCCCCCGAGCAAGTTGCACCAGGAAGATGGTTCGTCAACATGGCAACGCGTGGAACAAATCAGTCAATGCAGTGATGAGGAACCAATGGTAGCCAAGGGACCCACGTCAAACTGTCAACGTGTAACTCTTGAGTTTTTTACAAGCCCAATTCTGATAGCTGCGATGTTGATGAATCCTTGCGAAATGCACGATTCACTTAAAACCCGAAAGTATGGGGGACTCAAATAAGCATTAGCTGTATGTTACATGGACCTCCCAATGTACCCCCTCGTGTTCTAGTCCTGTCCCGTGACGTACGCGGAAACCAGAATGCTAGGATTGACGACCTGATCCTTCTTACTACATTTACCATGTAGAGCTAGCTACGATATGGAAATAACCCTTAATCTAGTATGCTAGGTTACGATCTAATCTTGAAACCTCACTAGGCTGTATGCGCTGCCCTGAACGGTTCTGCAGCGACAATTCTCTCCGGGGCCAAGCTGGTCAAATCTAGCTCTTCCCTCTTTTTTCCGTTGATTTTTTTTCCTGCCCGGATCCAAGTTACACGTATTTACACGTACGTAAACGTAAGCGGAATGTTACGCATAACATTACGTTTACGTAGGCCCATGGACGTACGGACCCATCTTAGAGTTATGGCCTGTGTTGTGCACGCAGCACACCTGCATGCACACACCCGCACTCTGCACTGCCTGCGTTCCCCCCATGTCACTATTTCAACCACCTTGAACACACCTGCACCTGCACGTACCTGGACACACCTGGGTACACTTCTGCATTATCTTCACTCCATACATGCCACTCTGCCAGCCCTCAACACACCTGCTGCTGCCCATTGCATGCCAACGCCGCCCCGCCCTCCATTCCTCCACCTCCTGCCGCCTCACCAGCCAAGCCCTCCACCAATGGCGACACGCCAGTTGGCACACCAGCAACCTCATCCTGCACTGCTTCTGCATGTGGCTGGAGTGTGCCAGCACCAGCAGGGCGTGTGCCTTCATCAGTAGGGCGTGTGTCGACCACAAGTCCCACGATGACAGGCACACTCTCCTCGTCATCCTCCTCCTCCACTCCAAGTGCTGCCGCCACCGCTGCTGTGAATGCATCAGGGGCAGCAGTGGAAGCAGCGCCACTCTTCCTTCCAGACACGGAGAACTTGGTCTCCACTGCTGCTGCACACCCACCACCCGACCTAACTGCCCTTGCTTGCTGCTCTGCCTGCTCCCCTCGCTGCATTTCCTTCTCCTTCTCCTTCCTCTCATCTCTCCCTCGACCTCCCTCTCTCCGCTCACTCCCCTCCCTCTCTTTTCTCCCTTGCCTCACCTCCCTCCTGTCTCTCCCTCCCCCGCCTTCGCTACGTTGCCCATCTCTCCAATCATTCCGCCTCTCCTCCCTCCTCTCATTCCTCTCTGTGCCCCGCCTTCCCTCCTTATCGCTCCTCCTCTCGTCTCCCTTTTCTCCCACTCTCTCTTCCGGCCCTTGGTCACTTGGCCGGCGGGCTTTGTCAGGACACTGCCGGTTGTTCCTGTTGGGTTCTGAAGCCTTGCTGGATTGCCCACAAGGAAGCTTCTCACCAGCTGCAGACGGTGGTGCTCCAAAGATGGCATTCTCGTGTGCTTCCTGCGTGGTAGCGCCGCGATTCTATACGCACCCGTAAACAAACACGAAACAGAAGCACACGGCATTTGAGCAAAGTAGAAAGTAAGAAGGGAAATGAACCATTCAGCATCTACTGACTGGATCAGGCACTTCAAGTAATACACGTGTCAATGCAGATACTTCGGGGAAAAGCAGATGGGTGACGAGGAGCAACAGTTGATGGATGAAAGGCACAGTCAGTAGCCGTCCTCACTCGCTCATGGGGATGAGCAGATGGTACGTACAGAAAAGGAGGAGAAGACAAAGGAAGATTTGATTTGATCCAAATGAGCAAGATCGTCTGCACCTCCCAGCGCATCTGCGCGTGATGGTGAAAGGCAGTGCATGGTTTGATGAAAGTAACTGTGAGACGCTAGTGTGAGTGCAAGGGCGATGCGACGTTGCATTGCAATGCGACATACACCACAGAAATCAACACAGTCGTGAACGTGCAAATGTAAGAACGCCATTGTCAACACCGAAAAACAAGTGGTAACACGCAGTTGCAAATATGAAATCGCGAGTACACTTGCACCGCACTGCACCTGTAGGCACCGTGCCTTTGATTTGAGGCACCTTGAAAGGAGATGCCATAACACCATGCCAAGGCATCATATCATCATACCCAACAGCACCGCACTTCACCAACTGACATCAAAACCAACATCTAGGTTTGCTCCTAAAAAATCTCACTGAACAGCAAGGCGGATTCACCACCACTCACCAGCACTGCCCATCCCTGCAATCAGGTCTGCATCCTCCACGTCAGCATCTGCATCCCTCTCCTCCTCCAGCGGGGCGGCAGAATCGAATCCAAACCGCTCCCACTCGCCACCCAGCCCTGTGCCTTTGTCTGATGCTGCCTCCTTGGCGGCTGTTGGTGAGGCGGAGATGCGAATGAGAATGTTCAGAGGCAGATGAGAATGAGAGCGTTAAAAAGCAGATGGGAGAAGGACAGGAGAAGGGAGAGAAAGCGAGGGATAAAAAAAAGGAATAAAAGCTAAGGGAGCCAGGGAGGGAGGCAACATACGTGAATGTTTCTGCATGAGACCAGTCAAACCTTCCTCACTGCCCTCGTCACCACCCCTCCTCCCTCCCTGCCCTACCCACCTGCGCGTTGGAGATGCTGTGCACGGAGCTGGTTAGGGGGAAGGGAAGGGAAGAAGCATGCAACAAGAAGAGCCCACCTCACCGGCAAACTCACCGCCCTCACTTGCCGTCCTCACTTGCCGTCCTCACTTGCCGTCCTCACTTGCCGTCCTCCCCTGATCTGCTCACCTGCCTTGTGGAACTGTTGTTCCATTCTCTCCTTCAGCTGCTGCGCGCGCACCTGGTTAGGGTAAGAGAAGGAAGGAAGGCAAGAGGTGGAGGACGGCAGACGGGAAGGGAGGGAGGCGGACGGGATAAGATTGGGAGGGATGGGAGGGGACGGAAAAATAGCAAATGAGTTTCGTGCTGCATGCTCTGAGAGGCAAAACAGGGGAAAAAAGAAAAGAAAAGAAAAAACCTTCTAAGTTGTGTTCGCATATCATAAACCACCTGCCAACCCCATCCCCTCCCCCACCCCTTCCCCCTCCTCCACTCATCCCCTCCCCTCCTTTCTCTTCCCCACACCCTTCAAGTCACCTTGGAATCCAGTTTTGCTGTTGCTTCCTTGCTCTTACGCTCCCCCCTCCTGCTCCCCTCACTCCTCTTCTCGCTGCTGCTGCTCCTGCCCCTCCTCCCACCTCTGCCCTTCCTCTCCCTGCTCCTGCTACCCCTCCCCCTGCTTCTGCTCCTGCTACCCCTCCCCCTGCTTCTGCTCCTGCTACCCCTCCCCCTGCTTCTGCTCCTGCTACCCCTCCCCCTGCTTCTGCTCCTGCTACCCCTCCCCCTGCTTCTGCTCCTGCTTCTCCTCTCCCTGCTCCTACTCCTGCCCCTCCGCTCCCTGCTCCTGCTTCTGCCCCTCCGCTCCCTGCTCCTGCTCCTGCTTCTGCTTCGCCTTCTCCTCACCCTCTCCCTGCTCCTGCTCCTGCTGCTACGCCTGCTTCTCCTTCTCCTCCTCTCCCTGCTCCTGCTTCTGTTTCTGCTGCGCCTACTCCTTCCCCTCCTCCCCTCCCTTCCGTTGCTCCCGCTGCTCGTGCTCCTGCTCCTCTCCCTGCTCCTCTCCCTGCTCCTCTCTCTGCTCCTCCTTCTGCTCCTCTCTCTGCTCCTCTTTCTGCTCCTCTCTCTGCTCCTCTCTCTGCTCCTCTCTCTGCTCGTGCTTCTGCTTCTGCTCCTGCTGCTGCTCCGCCTTCTCCTAACCCTCTCCCTACTCCTGCTTCGCTCCTTCCGCCTCTCCAGGTCCTTCCGCTCCGCGCTCCTCCCCCCATCTCCTCCCCTATCCGCCCGCCTGTCCGCGTTTCCCCCATCGCTTCCGCCCTTCCGCAGCTTGTCGCGCACACTCGCCACGCGCGCTTCCGCCAGTCCCTCCTGTAGCTTCCGCTCAAACGATTCCGCAAATGTCTCCGCGATTGACGCCGCGCCGCCTCCCAGTGACTTCTGGGTCGGTGGTTCCAGATTCTCCCGCTCGAACGACGCGGCACCGCCAGATGCGGCCACGAACGTCAACCCCGCGCCGCCTTTGGACCAAACTGCGCCGCCGACGCCGCCATCGCTGCTGGCGTCTGCAGCGGAGCTGGCGCCGAACCCGAGGCCCTGCTTGAATCGCGCCGCGTTGGATCCGCGGCGCACGAGATCCTGATAGTACGCCGCCGCCTTTCCCTCCTCCATAGCGCCGCCCCGCGCTGCCCCTCTCTGCACGCGAATACCTCAGAAGCGACACCCTTGTGCGAAGGTGACGTTTAGAGGACTCGAATGCCCGACCTCAGCAGTCTAGGAGCATTCCGGCTTCCATTTAGGGTTCGAAATTGCGAAGAATGTTGGGTGAGGACAGGTCGGCTGGAGTGGGGAATCCAGCTTCATGTTGTGAGTGCGCGGCTCTTACAAACGGCACTATTGAAGTTGGGAAGCTACAAATACTGATGACTACGAATACGCGTACTAACGAGGATTATATAGGCAGAGCAGGGCTGTCGATTCAAGGGCATTTGCCCTTAATGCCCTGAACATTCCGGGTTACGTTCGGCGCAGCTCAGCCATTTCAAGGGCTTGGTTCGACCGACACCCTTGCCAGTTAAGGGCATCGTTTGGCCCTTCCCCGGACTTGTTAAGTGCTCAATGAGGGCCGTCCCCTGAATCTAAGTTTACTTTCGGTTCCTGAGGACCCCCCCCCCCCCCCAATCCTGAAGGCACCCCGTCCCGGGACCCCCCCTTCCTTTTACCCCCTTTCCATGAAAGTTGCACGTGAGCGCGCCAGGTGGAGGATGTTTCAATTCAATTCAATCGATTTCTAACCAATCCAGTGTGTGCGTAGTGTCGAAGTCAGCATAGTGACAGCCGACCTCTCCTTCAGCATCCAATACAAGCTGCAGCACTGCTGACAGCTGGTACAACAATGACTTGTGTGTGAATGAACCTGGCTAATTTGTTAGAGCTGAGAGAACTCCAACACCGCACGAGCACCAGGGACAGCTTCGCACACGAAACTGTCTAGCGCTGCATCTTTCACTCATCCTACCGAATCAACCAAACCAAACACTCAGCCGAGCAAACCTCGCCTCACCTCACCTCACCTTACCTCCTCTCCTCACCTCACCTCACTCGCATCGCATCGCACGCCATGGTTTATATTTTAGGTTGCTGCAGATCGTGGTCCCCCATCAGCCCTACCCAGCCATGGAGCCTAGCGATGGTGAACCCCCCTCTCCTGCTTCTAGTGACCGAGCTGCTTTCCCCTCAACAAGTAGTTCGCATAGTGGAGACACTGAGATTCTCAGCCTTCAGCATGAGCCAGAAGCAACGGACGATGGTGACATGCTCGAAGTCAACATCACCGTCTCGGACACGCTACTCAATCAACAGAGCTCATCGTCGTCCCAATCGACGCCTAGGGCACGTACCCGCTTTCGTCAGGCGTGTCTTGGATTCGCGGATCCACCTCCAGACACCAAGAAACACGTTCGTAGCCACCCGCCGCCACCTACTGCCGAGGATTTAGAAGCACTGGACAAGGATATCGAAGCCGAAGCAGAGGTTCCCGAGGACACGAAGATCCCTGAGCGCGAAAAAGCTCTTGCCCGTCGCTACAACAAGAACTGGAAGGCGACCTACCCGTGGCTGAGCCTGAAGTATCACGAAAAGCAACGGATGTACGGTATGCAATGTTCTGCATGCTCTACATTCGCTCCTAACACCAAGTCTCCTTTCGGTCGTTGTGGCGCCGGCGCGAGGGACTTTCAGAAGTCGGCGTGCCGCAATCACGACTTGTCGAAGGTGCACCTTGCAGCAGTTGAAGCCGAACGACTCGCTCAAGGCACAGAGGTGAGGCAGCGGAGCCTCCTCGACATGCTGAGTAGGGACCCTACCATGGCTAGGGTCACCAAGTGCATGCAGGCGGCGTACTGGTGTGCTCGGAACGATGCTCCAATCGTTCTCTACCCGATGCTGGTGCGGTTCATGGCGGAGCAAGGCTGCCCCGACATGGTGAATAGCGAATCGTACGCTCGCTATTACTAGAGGTATGTAGTTGTTTATACGGCCCGTAATTGCATGCGTTTTTGTTTTTCTGAATTGCTACTTACACTTGCTTGTTAGGTATTTGTTGCAGGTACGCCTTTGGCGAGTTCATTGAGGCAATGGCGACTTACCTCGCAGGCCGTCAGCTCCAGGACGTCAGGTCGTCGGCCTGGTATGGGCTCTCCTTCGATGAGTCTACGGATCGTGCCCGCGGCAAGCATTTGATCGTGTATGCGACTTTCGAGCGATCCGAGTCTGTGGTGACCCAATTTTTTGGGCACCTTTCTCTCACCCGATGCGACGCGCAATCAATCTACGAGACAATCATGGCCTTCATCTCGGGGAAGGGCCTGTCAATGGAGAGGTTTGCTGGCGTCTCAACGGATGGGGCTTCCGTTATGACTGGCGAGAGGAAGGGAGTGGTCGCTTTACTTAGGAAGCATTGCCCCTGGCTGGTGGCTGTACACTGTGTGGCGCACAGGTAACTGTGCAGAGCGTTTGTATATTCTGTTCCAACAACATCACATGGATTCTAACGTTTTCCTTGTGCCTGTGCAGGGAAGCATTGGCTGCTAAAGATGCAGCGGCAAGCTTCAAAGACTTCAATGTCGTCGATACGATGATACGCCAGACTGCGGAGCGACTCGGGCGTTCCTCTACCGACCACAGGAAGTACATGCACCTGCAAGATGTGATTCTGCAGACACACCTGGAGGTGCAGGGGTTCTGTACTGTACGGTGGCTGACTCGAGGGGACGCGGTGCAGCGGTTCTGTGACGTGCTGCCCGTGCTGATGTGGATGTGGAGCAGGGACAAGCCTGCGACGCAGAAGATCGCATGCAGCTTCAAGTTTCATTTCATGCTTTTCCTCCTGGCGGACATCCTGCAGCTACTCAACGGACTGAATCTCGCCTTCCAGAAGAAGACGGTACGTCTTGATTCGTGTCGCTCCATTTTAATGTTGAACCGCAGTAGTAAACATTTTATGTTCATTTGTACGTGTTCATCTATGCTTGTTCCGCTGTGCGTGTTCAACTGTGCCTCTGTGCGTATTAAACTGTGCTTGTTCAGGTTGACATCACGTAGGTGAAGAACCATGTGGACAAGGTGAAGACGAAGCTCGTGTGAAAATGAACGAGAATGAATGCACTATGAAAGAGTTGGGTACAAGTACTAACCCTAATTCGGTTGTACCCCATATAGGCTACCCCACTACAGCCTACACAAAAGCATAAGCTATAATGTTCTGACACACCCCCATAGGCAAAGTGGGCGAGTACAAGGGGTCACAAGACCAGTCAAGCAAAGCAAAGCAAAGCAAGCTCAGGGTGGATCACAAAGTCACCACACATTCCGAGCACAAGGTCAAGGCCACAAGGCCAGTTCACATGCAGGAGTACATATATATATAAAAGGCTAGACAAGCAAGAGCAGGTGTATATATATATGTAACAGTACAAGCAAGGTCAAGAGGTGAGCAAGTGAGGCAAGGCAGGCACAAGACCCAGCTGAGTACAGAAGCGCTGATGATCACAAGGTGCAAGCGCCTTGGTGAAGATATCAGCAGTGTTGGCCTCAGAGGCCACATACGCAAGACGCAGCTGACCACGCTGCTGCAGCTCACGAGCAAGGAAGTAGCGGAGAGCAATGTGCTTCGTTCTGTGCTCCAGTCTCTGCTCTCGACACAAGGCCAGCATGGTCTTGTTGTCTACGTACAGCACTGGAGGAGAACGAGGCGGCTCTCCGAGGTCAGTCAGCAGGTAGGTGAGCCAGCGAAGCTCCTGTGCACCCATGGCCCCGGCGTAGATCTCAGCCTCACAACTGGAGCCGAGAACAGAAGACGAGGGGGTAGCCCGCCACGAAACAGAGCCGGAACCAAGGCTGGAGGTGTAACCCTGTGACGACTGCTGCGTAGCCTGGCCGTCAGCCCAAGAAGCGTCTGCGTGCCCAGTGAGGACCACTGGACTCTGCCCTCCAAGCACAAGCCCCATGCCTGACGTACTGCACAAGTAGCGCAACACCCTCTTCGCTGCAGCCATGTGCTCCGGTCTGTGTCTCCCAGGAGCAACATAGCGTGCGAGAATGCAAAGAGGGTATGCAAGGTCAGGTCGAGTGCAGGTCATCAGGTACATGAGGCAGCCAACAAGCTCTGGGTACGGGCCACTCAACTCTACGGACTCATCCGAAGGCAGAGCTGAGAGCGAGTGGCGAGTAGGCAGAGGAGTGGCCTGAGGCGAGGAGTACGTGAAGCCGAAGCGCTGAAGGACCTGCTGCACCATGTGTGACTGAGTCAGGGTAATGGTGCACTGTGCTCTGTCCCGGGTGATCTGCAAGCCAAGGTAGCTGCGCAGTTCATCCAGGTCTGTGCACGTGTGTCTCTTCTGCAGCTCGGACTTCACGTGGGCGAGTCCAGCAGTGTCAGCTGTGGCAAAGACCAAGTCGTCGACGTACACGAGGATGTAGAACGGCGGCAAAGAAGTGTCGGTGCGCAGAAACAGCGACGGGTCGGCAGTAGAGGGAGCAAACCCAAGAGCCGCAAGTGTAGTCCTCAGTGTGTCGTGCCACTCACGCGGTGCCTGGCGGAGACCGTAGACTGGCCGCCGGAGGCTCCACTGGGTGCCAGGAGGAAAAGACCCAGTGAAGCCAGGTGGGCGGCACAGCCAGATCTCCTCGTGCAGACTGCCCTGTAGGAAAGCTGTGCTGAAGTCAAGAGAGTGAAGCTCGGAGTCACGATGAGTAGCTATGTGCAGCAGTACCCGAAGAGTGGTCATCTTCGGGGTGGGAGAGAAGGTCTGAAAGTAGTCAACTCCCTGCCGCTGACTGAAGCCACGAGCCACGTAACGCGCCTTGAAGACAGGCGGAGAACCCGGCGGCCGCTTCACCCTGAAAATCCACATGCCATTGACGATGTTCGCCCCAGGCGGGGGAACCTCGTCAACGTAGGTGCCTGTGGACTTCCAGGAAGCCATCTCTGCGTTCATAGCTGCCTGCCACTGAGAGGAGTAGGGACCCTCTATCGCCTCCGCGTAAGAGCGCGGAGTCAGGATGTCAAGTGCATCCGGGTCTCCCTCAGGGGTAAGCAGTACGGACACGAGATGAGGTGAAGCAGCAGCCAGACACTGGAACTCCTCCTGCCTGTCCTCAAGGACGTCCGTGCCAAGGGCACACTCACCCTCGACGGACGGAGGACAAACAGACTCAGACTCAGCAACAAGACTGGCGGCGTAGTCTAGGCGACAGCGAGCAGCAAAGTCGACGAGCTCAGCAACTAGGGCAGACGCAGCAGTGGACTCAAAGGAAGGGTCAGTGACAACAGTAGCAAGGAGACGCGTGACAGTAGGACTGGCAGCACGAAGAGAGTCCGACTCCGGGTCGGCAAGAGCAGGAAGAGAAAACTCAGGAGGAGAAGGTAAAGGGGCACGCAGAGGAGCAGTGGACGGACGCAGAGACATCCGGTGCGTGCCAGGGACAGGAGGAGGACGCTAACGCGAACTACGACCACTAGTGCGAGCAGCACGGACAGGCGACGAAGGGCGAGACGCAGGCTCACGACGTTCAGCAAGACCTCCAATAGGACCAATGTAGGGAGACGGAGCAGGCAGTGGGGAGGCTGGCTGTAACTATAACTGTGACGGGACAGGCTGTGGACACTCGAAGGGAGGAGGAGGACCAATAGAAGGCGGGAGACCAAGAACCTGCTGAAGGAGCGGAACGAAGTACGGCCGAGGCCGCGCGGCGACTCCAGACACAGCAGGGACAGCACCAGTACCCCCAGCGGCAGCACCAGCACCAGCAGCACCTCCAGCTCCAGTACCTCCAGCAGCACCAGTAGCACCCCCAGCAGGACCGCCTCCAGGACCGACAGCAGTAGCCTCCGCGCCAACACCCGCACCAGCTCCAGCTCCAGAAGTACCCGCAGGCCCAGCAGCTCCAGTACTCCCAGTAGTAGCACCTCCGGGACCCGCGGCACCAGCACCCTCAGCAGCAGCAGAACCTCCAGTACCCGTAGCACCTCCAGCTCCAGCAGCTCGCCTCCAGCGCCGGGCAAACCACTCACGCAGCTCCTGTGGAGAGAGTGGCTCCCGGCGAGACGAAGCACCCGGAGAACCGCTAGGCACAGCACCGCCAGACGCCACACGAGCAGGCCCAGCTCCCTCAGGCTCAACACCTTCAGGCTCAGCACCTCCGGGCGTAATACCCCCACGCGTAGCACCCCCAGGCTCAGCTCCCCCAGGCTCAGCACTCCCAGGCTCAGCACCCCCAGGCTCAGCACCCACAGGCTCAGCACCCCTAGGCTCAGCACCCCCAGGCTCAGCACCCCCAGGCGTAGCACCCACACGCTCAGCACCACCAGAGTCAGCACCCTGAGGCTCAGCACCCTAAGCAGCACCAGAGTCACCAGCGACCTCGACAGGCTCAACAGCGTCTACCTGGGACACACCTGAAGGGGCAGGACCCTGAGGGGGGAGGGGGTCTATCGGGGGGGGACCTGGCACAAGGAAGAGCGGTGGCGGGGGGAGGGACGGAGTGCGGTAGGGGAAGAGACGGTAGTAGGGGACCGACTCGTCGAACGTGACGTCCTGGGAGGACAGAACACGGCGAGAGGTGGGGTGGTAGAACTGCCACCCTAGCGCGTCAGGAGGGAAACCCAGGAAGACGCAGGGAGTAGCACGAGGGGACAGCTTGTCCGCAGACAAGTCGCGGACAAACGCCCGAGATCCCCAGACCCAAAACGCAGACGCATCGCCAACCTTCCCCGTCCACAGCAAAGCTGGGGAGGTCTCCGGCATGGAGACCCTGGGCTGAAGGTTGATCTGATGCGCCGCGTACCGGACCGCAAACGGCCACAGAAAATGGGGGGCAGCCGCATGCATCATGGACGTACGGGCGACGTCCATGACCATGCCAATGCGGCGCTCAGCAATCCCATTTTGCTGTGGAGAGTCCGGAAGCGTGAAGGTCTGGCGGATGCCTCGTGCACGACAGTAGGCTCGCAGAAGGCCAGAGGAGAACTCTCCGCCTCTGTCAGAGTGCAGATGCAGAACAGGAAAGTCCGAGCCGAAGCTCCGCCTGAGCTGGAGACGAGCTGCGCGGATCCAGTCGATCAACACCTCAGTGACATCACCCTTGCTGCGCAAGGGGAAGAGTGTGGTGTAACGCGAGTAGTCGTCAACCACCAGCAGGAAGTAGCGCTCGTGACCTTGTCCACGGACGCGGGCTGGGCCCCACACGTCCATGTGAAGCGTCTGCAGCGGGGCCTCTGTTGGAGGAAACTGAGAGGAGTGAGGGGCAGCGCGCTGCCGCCCCTCGACACAGGGGACGCAGGTAGGGCCAGGCCCCGGAGGAAGGGGAGGGAGGGACCGGGGAAGACCAGAGACAAGGACACGGGAGGCCATGCTTCGGAGATGAAGCAGGGAGGGGTGACCAAAGCGGTGGTGCCAGAGGAGAGTTGTCGTGAATCCCCTCCCTTACTTGTCTCCCTGCTCCAACTTCTGCCCCATTACCTTCCCCTCTTCTGTTCCTTGCCCGTCTTCTCTCTTGTGCCTCTCTCAACCACTCCCAGAGGAATCTGTCCCCCACACTTGGCTACTCCGAGTGGCCTCGTCACCTGGCTTAGAAATCTTAGATCAGCAACTTAATCCACTATAGAGAGTAAACAAACGAGAGAACTAATCGAGTGATGTTTCTCTAGGCTATAAATCTACCCTCGGCCAAGTCGCCAATGTCTTAGAGTTCTGGTTGAGTTCGGGCCGCTCCAGCTTGGTATTGGCCAGAGTGATTTCCCAGTTGCTCGAGGCTCTTGGGTTCACTTCTTGCGCGCCTCGCTGGTCCCCAGACCACCAACTTCGCGTCACTCTCCCTGCTGCCCACCAACCTGCTTACAAGTCAAATAACATTCTACACCCCGCTCCATATGCTACAACACATCACATTGCACCGTATTAGCGTTAACAGGATGAATTGCAACTTCCCTCAGTGAATTCTGTGACAGCTGTCGTGAATCCCCTCCCTTACTTGTCTCCCTGCTCCAACTTTTGCCCCATTACCTTCCCCTCTTATGTTCCTTGTTCGTCTTCTCTCTTGTGCCTCTCTCAGCCACTCCCTGCCCCCTCATGTACTCGTGCTCGTGCTGCACGGGCCCGAGTCACATGACCATCCAGCTGAGGCCGGCTGCTCCTCACCACCGCTGCATTGGTCTGGTGGTCCACTGTCTGTTCCCCCTTCTCGTTCTCTAGTACCAGCACCCCTTGAGTCGCGTACTGCTTTCACCTTCCACCTTACGGTTCCTAGTCCCACGTCCAGGGTATCCTGCTTGGCCCGCTTCAAATAAACCTCTTGTCCCTCCACCACTGCTTCCTTCCCCTTTCCTCCTCCCTTCTGCTGCCGCTGCTGGTACCTCAGTGCATCCCGCAACTGTGCTGTGTGCAGGTTCTCGAGTGCGGCTAGTAGCATCTCTTTCATGTAGCGTGCTCTTGCTTCCGCCAGTGCTACCCACTTCTCTGTTCCCTGCACGCTCACCGGGTCGGTTAACACCCGCGGTGCCCCCACTGGCAGCACTGGCTCTCGCCCAAACAGCAGGCTATACGGCGAGTGATCCCTCAGCGATGCCTGCCTCCCGAACCTGTATCCTGCTGCAATCCAATGCAGTTCCTCATCCCAGTCTCTCTTCCGCTTCTCCCCGTATGCCCGCAGATTCCGCTTCAAGGTCTGCACCAGCCGCTCTGTGAGTCCATCACTTTGAGGATGATACCGAGAAGTCCTCCGGTGCGTGACGCGTGCCTGGTCTAACAATGCCTGGAACTCCCCTCTGAATTCACTCCCTTGGTCTGTCAAGACCTCCCCTGGTGCTCCAAACCGGCATAGCACTTGCTCCTTGAAGGCCTTTGCCACATGCTTCGAGCTCTTGCTGGGAATAGCGCGCACCTCCAACCATTTGCTTGCATGTTCCACCATGAGGAGGATGTACTGCTGACCTCCCCTGCTCAGCGGCAGCTCTCCTGCCAAATCCAATGACCACCTGAACCCCAGCCCACGTATCGGCAATGACTGCAACTCCTGCTTTGTTTGGACCAGACTGGCCCTGCTTCGCTGACAACCCTCGCACCCGCTCACCCATTCTTTCACCTGTTTCCTCATCCCTTCCCACCACCAGCCAGTTTTCAGCAGCTGCATAGTCCTCTCATGCCCGAAATGGCCCAGCTTGTTGTGTACCTCCCTGATCAGCCCCTCCCTGTCCTCTGGTGCAGGTACCAGTTTCCAGCCGTCTTCCGTCTGTACTTGCAGTTGCTGCTGGTACCACCTGTAGTGAACACCCCTTGCCCTTACTCGCTCTTGCACCTGCTCGTCTGCTTCCGTTTCCCCCTTGACCCATCGCATTGCTGCTGCATCCTCCCAAATATCCCTTGGCCCTTTCTGCTTCTCTGCTGCCGCCACTTCTCCTGCCCTTACAAATAGGATCAGCGTGTGCTCTGGTGCTGGCGGCGGCGGGTTTCTGGAAAGCCCATCCACATGCTGGAGTGTCTTCCCCGGCCTATGCCGAATCTTGAAGTCATATTCCTGCAGTTTTACTGCCCATCTCGCATTCCTCCCTGTGTGTCCCTGGTGCGTCATCAACCACTGCAGCGGCTGGTGATCTGTCACCAGGGTGAATTCCCTCCCCTGCAGGTAAACCCGGAAGTGTCCTACTGCCCACACGGCTGCGAGACCCTCCCCATGGTAAGAGCTATACTTCGCCTCCGCTGGACTGCAGCTTCTGCTCGCATATGCCACCACCCTTTCCTCCCCATCTACTTCCTGACATAGCACCGCCCCCATGCCCAGGCTGCTCCAGTCAGTGTACAAGCAGAATGGCTTGTCCGCTTGAGGCAGCTGCAGTATGGTCCCTGTTTTTACTGCTTCCATGAGGTCCTTCAGTGCCTCCTGCTGCTCTGTCCCCCAATCCCACTTCCTGTCCTCACGTAGCAAGCCGTTGAGTGCTGCTGCCCGCTTACTGAAGTTGGGCACGAAACGTCGGTAGTAGTTTAGGAAGCCTAACACTGCCCTGAGTCCTGTCCTGTCTTTCGGCTGCTGTAGTCGGTCTAACACCTCCACTTTCGCTTTCTGGATCCCTATTTGTCCGCCCCGCACCTCATAGCCCAGGTAGTGCACCGTTGCCTCTCCCCACCTGCATTTCTTTGGGTGGCAGGTGAGTCCCGCTGCTGCTAGCGCTTCTAGCGTTCGCTCCACGTCCCTGACGTGCTCTTCTTCTATCCTGCTAAAGATGACTACGTCATCTATGTAACAGGCGGCACAGTCCAGGCTCCGCAGCACACTGTCCATAACCCTCTGGAAGATTGCTGAAGCGTTCCTCAGCCCGAAAGGCATGAATAGCCATTCGTACAATCCGTCCGCTCCATGAAACGCGGTCTTGCGCACGTCCTCCTTCCTAATCCGAATCTGATTGAAGCCCTGCCTTAAGTCTAGCGTGCTGAATATCTCTCCTGCCCCCAGCTTGTCAAAGATCTCCTCCGCAGCTGGCATGGGGTAGCGATCTGGCACAGTCACCTTGTTAAGCGCTCTGTAGTCCCCGCACATGCGCCTGCTCAGTATCTCCCCCGTCAGGTCCTTCCTAGCCGCTATCACGGTCGGCGCGGCATACTCGGACTCGGATCGCTGAATCAGTCCCGCCTCTATTAACTCCTTGCATTTTTCCTTGCAGATATCCGCGTCCCCTGGCGTCATCCGCGGCTTCCTCTGGAACACCGGTTCCTCCGTCATTAATTTCAGCTCCATCTCCTTAACGGTGCATTTCCCTAATTCCTGCAAGGTGAAGGCGAAGGCATGGCGGAACCTGGCCAGCACCGCCTGCAGTGCCTTCCTTCCGTCAGGGCTCATTGCATCTCCCACCTCCCATTCTGCTTCCTTTGCTCCTGCTGGCATGCATGCCCATGCCCCCATCTTCTCTGCTACTTCCCTTGCCTCCTCCTGTGTTTGGGTGCTGTCCCACACCAGTCCCCTCCACATCCTGCGCGTCAGCCACAGCATTACCTGTCCATCCATTGCCCTTCCCAGCGCGCTGCGCCTTTCTTGCTCTGTGACTCCCTCCGCCCGTGTTATGTCCTCCCCGTACCCCATCGCCAGCTCTCGCTCAAGCGCTGATGGTTCTTCCCACTGCTTCTTTCGGTGGTCGTACACCATCCCTTCCCCTGCCTTGCCATTCTCCATTCTAAATCCCGCTGCTCCCTCAAAGGCCACCAGAGTTGGCCACGCCCTTCGCTCCTCCCCCACCTTGTTACACGGACACTGTGTCTCGTGTCTGCCCTTCTTCACTGGTGCCGCCATCCTCCCCACCTCCAGTATATCCTTCACTGTCCTACCCCATGACCGCTTCACCCCATCTAGCTCCTCCTGCAGCTGGTCTTCCAGTACTACGTTCTGCCAATAGCGCCTTACCCGGTGCGCTCGTGCCCCCAGCCTTGCTGCATCACATCTGACTCCCTTTCCCAACCGCTTTGTCACCAGTTCCCTCACCCTTCTCACGGGCTCTCTCAAGTCCCCTTCCAGGTCCAAGTGCTCCAGTAGGTATGTTACTTCCCCCTGTCCTTCCTTTATCCAGTCCATAATGCGCAGCAGGTCTAACAGCAGTGCCCCCCTAGGATCCTCCATGCCTTTTCCCTTCCCCGCTCTCGATACCCCCTGGCACTCCCACCCTGCCACCAGTAGGTCCACGTGCCCCCAGCTGCGCACCATATCTCGTGTTATATGTCTCACATCTCTCACCGTCCCACGCATGGCCCGCTCTATCACTTCTTCTCCCAACAGCTCTGGATACTCTTCCTGCAGCTTCTTCGCGTGGTTCTCCGCCATCTTCCGCACTCGTGTATCCTTCTCCACGTATATCCATTCTTTGACTGCAACCCCTGCTTTTAATACTGCTGCCAATCCTGCTCCTATCCCCCCAAATAGTTCCACCATCCTTATCGGCTGCAGCCAGTTGCTCCTCCTGTTCCCTGTGCCATTCAGCTCTGCTCCTTCCTCACCTCCCTGTCCTGCAATATACGCCCTTCTCGGCTCCTGCTTCACGAACCGCACAGGTAACTCACCCAACTCACTCTGCTTATTCCAGTACTGCCTCCTGAACTCCACTTGCTCTTTCCAGGTGCATATTGTCATTCCTACCTTGTACACTAAGTCGGTTCCCAGCAGCACATCAAAATCTTCTGAGTCCGAGATGCTGCACTGCACTCGGATCCTTGTCTCCCCTTCTTGTCCTGGCAGCAGCACTATCTCCACAGGTGTTTCTGTGCTTGGCATCCACTTCGGCGCCCCTCCCTCTGCTGTCATCACCAGCATCCCCTTTTTAACGTACTGGCCTGGCCCCGTCAGTCCCAGCTTTTGTGCCATCTTCCTTCCCAGCATCACGCTCTGTGCCCCCGTATCTATGATTGCTGTTCCTGCCCGTTCTCCCCCTACTGTTATGGCCCCTGCTTCAACTACCAACACTGTCGTCTGGCTGGCCAGTCTGTCCTTGGGGTGGCGGTGGGCTGTCCCTGCCTGCCCCTCTGTCCTTGCTGTCTTCTGCTCAGGTCTGCGGCGTTCCTTCATCACCTGCTCTTTGCGCTTGTCCATCCCTCCGCTTCGTAACCCTAACTCCTCTCTGCTCCGCAGCACCGCAAATGACCACTCCAATTTCTGCTCCTCCTCCTCCCCATCTTCTTCCTCCTCTCTTGCATACATTCCCGCCTCCCTCTCCTTCTTCCCTCCCATGTCCCGCAACTGTGCCTGCAGCCTACCAATCTGCTTCTCTATGTCCTCAGATGACCTCTTTGGCCCACCTGTCCTTTGATAGCAGTCCTTCGCCTGATGTCCCTGTTTCCCACACACCTCACACTTGGGCGCGTCCGGGCATTCCCTCCGGCGGTGCCCAGGCTTGCCACATGTGTCACAATTCTTGCAGTCCCTCTTTATATGCCCTTGTTGCCCACACCTGTGGCAGGTGCGTGTGTCCACCCTTCTCTCCTGCCGATTCTCCTCCCTTGTCCCCTCCTCGGGTATCATTGCTGCTGCCCAGGTAGGTTTTCTTTCTTCTGCCGCTTTTGGCAGGTAGGCCTCATACAGCCGCTGCGCCAGTTCCACCTTTTCCGCCAGCTCAAACACCTCCTCCAGTGTGGCCTCCGCCCCTAGCTCATATACTCGCATTCTCAGCCCCCCGCTCAACCCCTTGTCCAGTCCCCCCAGGAACTTACTTATGAGCATGCTGCTGTCCGTGCATACGACATCTTCCGCCAGGTTCATCAATCTCCCATAATAGGTAAGCAGTGACTCTGTTTTCCCCCGTCTGAACTCCTGAAACTCCCTAATCCTTTCCGCCGTATGCCCCGGGAACTTCTTCCGAAGGCGCTCCAGGAGCAGTATCGTGGGGTCCTCATCATCCTCCTCCGCCCTTCTCAGCCACTCCTTCATTTTCATGCGGTACAGCGTCTCTGCCTCCCCTCCCAAGGTGTTAGGCAAACTTAAGAAGAACTCGATCGGGTCCATTCCGCTACGGTCACAGCGGTACTTCACGTTACCTATCTGCATAAGGTAGTTCCTCAGGTTGCTCCCTGTTCCTATGTCTCCCGTGAACCTCACCGGCACCTCCACCCGTGGCATTGCTGCCGCACTCCATCTCCCCGTCTCCCACGTCCCTGACTCCTCTCCTGCCGGATGGCCGTACTCCCTGCCCCTTGCTCCTGATCGCCTGCTCTTTGTGCTCCCTCCGTACAACGCACGCTCTATGCCTTCCCTCGCAGCTCTTGCTCCCCTCGAGCCTTCCCTCACACGCTCAGACCTTCCCTGCCATCTCGGGCTCGGGCTACGCCTCTCGCTGGCCTTCGCGCCGCTCACTTCTCGCCTTTCCCTGCGTTGACCCCTTGCCTCAGGTGATTCTCCGTCCTTGCGCTGGTCTTGCTTACCATGCCTGCGACGGGCCCGGTCATACTCCTCTTCGCTCTCAGACTCAGTCTCAATTTCCCGTTCCTGGCGCTGCCTCTCATATCTCTGTTCCTCCTCTTCTTTCCTCCTTCTTACCCCATCCTCAGGTGTCTTTTCCGCCTCTGACTTCCACGCGATAATCCTCTCCTTTCCTCACGATGCTCATTTCCTCTCTGCTGTCGATCATCCGCGTCCGCGCGCGACCTTCCCCCCTCTTCTCGTTCGCTTCGCGCATCTCTCTCATGGCGATCCCCTCCCTCATACGGCTCTGGCGACCTTCGCATGCCCATCGCCCTTCGTCCCCTCCTCCCGTACCTTTCACGCGACTCAGGCGAACAGTACGCCCCTGCCTGCTCGCGCTAATGGCGGACACCTTCACCGCGTCCGACTGAAAAGCGATCTGCTTCCGCGTGCGCGCGAGGCTCTCCTCCGCTCTCGCGTACTGGATCTGTCGCGTCGCGCTCCGTCCCTTCTCCCTTCTGGCCCATTTCTCCGTCCTCATGCTCCTCCGCATCCGCGGCCTCTCCCTCTTCAGGTTCCTTCACGCCGTACCGCGCAATTGGGACATCGTCATCGTCGACCCCGTCGTCCTCGCTTGACGACTCTAACTGGTCGCTCACATCAACCTCCTCGAGGCGCTGGACGCCCTCGCTGCGACTCGGCAGATTCCAAGGATCGCTCTGCGTGGTTAGTGATCTGGGAACTGACTCCGCAAAACGTCCACGCTCACCTTCCGCGCGCCGATTCCTTTCAAGCATTACCCGATCCGCGCGGTATGCTTCCGTACGCGGCGAGCGTACTGGCGATCTCCCGCGCTCTCGTGAGCGCATCCTCCGCTGCACTCCAGGACCCCGTCGACTGTAGGTCCTAGCCCATCGATGCTCGTGGCAGTCCATACTGCGCGTTTCTTCTCTCGTTTGTGAGGAATCCGTCCCCCACACTTGGCTACTCCGAGTGGCCTCGTCACCTGGCTTAGAAAGCTTATATCAGCAACTTAATCCACTATAGAGAGTAAACAAACGAGAGAACTAATCGAGTGATGTTTCTCTAGGCTATAAATCTACCCTCGGCCAAGTCGCCAATGTCTCAGAGTTCTGGTTGAGTTCGGGCCGCTCCAGCTTGGTATTGGCCAGAGTGATTTCCCAGTTGCTCGAGGCTCTTGGCTTCACTTCTTGCGCGCCTCGCTGGTCCCCAGGCCACCAACTTCGCGTCACTCTCCTTGCTGCCCACCAACCTGCTTACAAGTCAAATAACATTCTACACCCCGCTCCATATGCTACAGCACATCACATTGCACCGTATTAGCGTTAACAGGATGAATTGCAACTTCCCTCAGTGAATTCTGTGACAGAGTCTCGTGAGACAGGAGAAGACACGAGCAGGGGGCACACTCAGGACCAGACCTGGACGCTGCAGCAAACACCTGACCCGACGCAGCTACCTGACCAGACGCAGTGACTGGAGGAGACGCAGTGGTCAGCGTGTACAGGCTCGACCCCGGCCGACGGGTAAACGTGGCCAAGTGTCGGCCCGTCCGAGCACACGTGCAGTGGGTCACCCGCTGACTCGCAGGAGTGAACTGGTGAACCCCCGCATCCTGTAGGTCAGCACCACTCACCAAGTTCGTAGAGAACGAGGGGAGGTAAAGACCAGACAGGGTGCCATAGGGGGCCGCCGGACACGGGAGGACTGTGGAGAAGTGAGCAAGGACAGGACCCCCAGAGGGGTTTGCCAGAGAGACTGCAACTGGCCGACCAAGCGGCGTGAGTGTGGTGCGGTCTCGAAAGAAGGAGCGGGAAGCCCCCGAGTGAAGAGTGAAGGTTTGAGAGGCCGGAGCCGACGCGGTACCTGAGAGAGCAGACTCACCCGCACCTGAGGAAGCAGACTCACTAGCACCTAGAGCAGCAGCCGCACCTGTACCTGGAGCAGGAGACTCACTAGCACCCAGAGCAGCAACCTCACCAGCAGCTAGAGCAGCAGGCTCTATACCCGGGTCAGGCGGTACGCACAGGTGACCGGCACGGTCAGCACTAGTAGGCAATGCATACATGGCAGTGAGAATAGCATCATAGTCAAGAGCAAATATATCTACCCTCTGCCAAAGCAACTCCACCCAGTCGGGGAGCTCAGCCTCGTCGCCAAACTCGGTACGCCAGGCGTCGCTCAGATGGGCGAAGCAGCGGGACTGTGTGTGACTAGGTGTCCCACAAGGCTGACCAGTCTGAGCACCAGTGCGAATCACGTAAGAGCAGCGAACAGAACTGAGAGACCCTCTACTCTGAGCGGACCACTCATGAAGCTGCTGGGGCGTGAGAGACGCGCGTGGGCGTCGCTGGAGCTGCATCTGGCCGCCGCAAGTAGTAGTAGCAGCAGTAGTAGTAGCAGTAGCAGCGCCGCCACCCCTACAACCCCAACCAGCGTACCACTCACGCAGCTGCTGGGGCGTGAGAGACTCACGCGGACGTCGCTGGGGCTGCATCTGGCTCCTCCAGTAGAAGCAGGAGCAGGAGTAGCAGCAGTAAGGCAGGCAGCCAGGCAGGCCGAAAGGCAGGCAAGTAGGCGGCGGGCAGCGCGCTAGCAGGGCAGGGGCTTACCAGTGGTGGGAAGAGCACGCTCCGCGACTCGGCGACTCGGCGGTGCGGGCGGCTCGGGCGGCTCGGCGGCACGGCGGCTCGGCAGCAACTGCGGCTCGGCGGCTCGGGCGACTCGGGCGGCTCGGCGGCAACAGCGGCTCGGCGACTCGGCGGCTCGGGCGGCTCGGGCGACTCGGCGGTACGGCGCCCGGCAGCAACTGCAGCTCGGCGGCTCGGCGACCCGGCGGCTCGGGCGGCTCAGGTAGCGCTGCGGCTCGGGCGGCTCGGGTGGCTCGGGCGGCTCGGTAGCAGCTCGGCGGCGCCGGCGGCTCGGTGGTGACGGCGGGGCCGCTTGGGGACGGCGGCGGGGCCGGATGGAGCGGCGACGGGGCCAGCAGAGGTGGCGCCGGGGCCGCAGGGTAGGTGACGGGGCCAGCAGAGGCGGCGCCGGGGCCGGGAAGGGCGGCGTCGGGGCCAGCAGAGGTAGGCGACGGGGCCAGTAGAGGCGGCGCCGGGGCCGGTAAGGACGGCGTCGGGGCCAGCAGAGGTGGCGCCGGGGCCGGGAAGGGCAGCGCCGGGGCCGCAGGGGTAGGCGACGGGGCCAGCAGAGGCGGGGCCGGGTCGGGAAAGGCGGCGTCGGGGTCGCCGGGGTAGGCGACGGGGCCAGCCGAGGTGGCGCTGGGGCCAGGAAGGGCGGAGCCGGGGCCGCAGGGGCAGGCGACGGGGCCAGCAGAGGCGGGGCCGGGTCGGGAAGGGCGGCGTCGGGGTTGCCGGGGTAGGCGACGGGGCCAGCCGAGGTGGCGCCGGGGCCAGGAAGGGCGGAGCCGGGGCCGGGATGGGCGGCGCCGGGGCCGCAGGGGTAGGTGACGGGGCCGCTAGGGCGGCGGATCGGGGCCGCGAGGGCGGCGCGACGCGGCCGCTAGGGCGGCGCGACGAGATGGGGCCGCGACGGGGCAGCGAGGGGTCGCGCGCGGCTCCCCTGGGCGCCGCGACGGGGTAGCGGGGAGTGGCGCGCCTAGAAGGAACGGGGCCGCGCGCCTCGGGGCGCGCGCCAGAGAGAAAATCGCCGCGCGCCAATAGGTCGCACGCCACGGGGCGTGTGACAGATCGAGTAGCAGCGGAAGCAGTAGTAGGGCCCACAGGTCAGGAGCATATGTGCTCTGAAACCATGTGAAAATGAACGAGAACGAATGCACTATGAAAGAGTTGTGTACAAGTACTAACCCTAATTGGGTTGTACCCCATATAGGCTACCCCACTACAGCCTACACAAAAGCATAAGCTATAATGTTCTGACAGCTCGCGCAGTGCTATGTCGAGCTCGGCGCATCGTTCGGGCAGAAGGACTCTCGCCTGGCTAAGTTCATCGATGAACGTGGTAGCCAGGAGAAGCGCACCATTGAGATCAAGGGAGTCGATGACAGTGGTAAGCAAGCGACCACCAAGGTCACGCTCCACGAGGAAAAGATCGGAGAAGGCGCTGGAAGTGACTTGGAGTCGTGCAAGGACCTTGCCAGGCGGTTCGCGCAGAACCTGGTCAAGGCACTGGGCAATAGAATGGCTGACCTGCGCCATTTTGATGGCGTCCAGTTTTTCCAGCCTGACCAGTACCCCAGAAATGTGTGCGACCAGGAACCCTGGCTTAAGACCCACCTGGCAGAGCTGCTGGACCTGTTCAAGAACTTACTCCCTGGTAAGTGTGGGAAGCATAGTGGCTCAAGTTATTTGCCGAGGCTAGCTCAAGTTCCATCTAATTACTGAACTTACCCCTGTCAGTAGATCTGCACTGTGGATGCCCGATTGATCCTGGAGAGGGTTACAGGCGCGTTCGCCTGGGGGGTTATGGGCGCACTGACCCGCTACTGAAACAAGCCCTTTTATCCCAATGGTCTAGTGGTTGGGATTCTGACATGGTATCAGAGCGGTCTCGGGTTCGAATCCCGGTGTATGCACATGTAGGCCGGTGCCGCTGTGCTTAGTCCTGGGCCTCCCAGTGTGGGGGGGTGTCAGTAGATCTGCACTGTGGATGCTCGATTGATCCTGGAGAGGGTTACAGGCGCGTTCGCCTGGGGGGTTATGGGCGCACTGACCCGCTACTGAAACAAGCCCTTTTATCCCAATGGTCTAGTGGTTGGGATTCTGACAACCCCGTATCCCCTTGGCAGGTATCTCGGTTGCAGATATAGAGCCAGAGATGCATCTCTTCACTGCGACCCTGTTCGCGAAATTCAAGAAGCAGAGCTTTCATTAGGCTCTTACGAACATGCTGCGCACTTCAGATTGGCAGGATGATTACCCCCACCTTGTTAGTCTTTGGCGAGCTCTTTCTGTGTTGCCCCTCAGCACTGTGGAGTGCGAGAGGGGCTTCTCCAGGCAAAACATTATAAAGGCATGGGATCGTACGGCTCTTACTGATGTTAAGCTGGGGGAGTTGATGACTGTCAAAATGCTGGATTATCCTGTCGACTGGGCTGAGGCCTACGCTGTTTTTGAGGCCAAGGGGCGGAGGCCTGCCACCTAGGCTTGCATGTCTTGTCAAAGATATAATGTGATGCAGGTGGTAGAGGAGCTGCAGATGAGTAGAAATGCAGTAGATAGTGCAGCTCCACTTGTAGTTGGATTGGAAGTAGTGACATGCAGGTTGAATAGTTTACTTAGTACTGAAAAAGTAGGTTTACTGTCTTCAATTCAGGATAGGTTAGTTAAGTAGACTACACTTTGGAGCCCGGATTTCAAGTTCACTTTTCGGCCAGCGCCCGTGACCGCTAAGGGCAAAAAAATGGTCACCTCCCTGAAAATAAGGGCCGGAATTACAGCTGCTGACGTCGCTGACGACTTCGCGACCCCCTGTGGTGAGCCTCCTTGTACCGCGCCGCCCTCCCTGCCGCGCCCGCGCCGCACGCGCTTCTGCCAGCGCTGCAACCCCTGCGCGTGTATCTCACCTGCCATCTCGCTTCACCCGCATGCGCCCCTCTACTCCTTCCCCTCCGCTTCCCGCATGCGCCCTTCCCCTCTCTTCCTTCCCCTCCGCTGTCAGGAGTTCGACCTGGCGGGGCGTTATCTCCTCCCCGGCCTGTGCGATGCGCACGTGCACGTCACAGCGGCGGCGAGCGCAGATCTGCACGCGCTGGCGGCGCTGCCCGTGTCGCTGGTGGCGTGCCGTGCTGTCAGGGGGCTGCAGGCGATGCTCATGAGAGGCTTCACCACCGTGCGCGATGCTGGGGGGTGCGACCAGGGGCTGGCTCAGGTAAAAGAACAGAGAGGCGGTGATAGGGCTCAGGTGTTTAGGGAACAGAGAGGTCTTCTGCGTTCATTCTTTCCCACATCCACTTCCTCTGCCTTTTTCCTCGCCCCCCTACCTCCCTTACGGTCTTGCTTCCTCCATTGTCCCTCCGTTCCTCCCTCCACTTCTCTCTCCTTTCTTTCCTCCCCATCCTTCCTCCTTCCTGCCATGCAATCATGCTTCCGTTTTCTTTCTCCTCCCTCCATCCTCAGGCAGTGGAAGAAGGGGCGGTGGAGGGCCCACGTATTCGCATATCAGGCCACACACTCTCCCAGACGGGCGGCCACGGGGACATACGCAAGCCCTCCCACCACACTGCCTTTCATCCTCTACCACTCTCCCCTTTCGCCTTTCATCCTCTACCACTCTCCCCTTTCGCCTTTCATCCTCTACCACTCTCCCCTTTCGCCTTTCCCGTCGTGTCTGCCCATCCTTCGTTTTCCTCTCTCCTCCATCTCTCCCTCCTTCAGGCAGTGGAGGAGGGCAAAGTGACTGGTCCACGTATCCTCATATCAGGCCACGCCCTCTCCCAGACAGGCGGTCACGGGGACATGCGCAAGCCCTCCCACGACACCCTCCCCGTCGCCGCCCCCTCCTCCTTCTCCCTCTGCGCTTGTTCCTCCGCTGCTTCTGCCCTCGGCGGCCTGGGCATCGGCCGCGTCTGCAACGGCGAGGCTGAGGTTCGGCGGGCGGTTCGGGAGGAGCTTCGGCGGGGAGCGCGGCAGATCAAGTTGATGGCGTCGGGCGGCGTATCCTCACCATCAGATCGCGTGGAGAGCGTGCAGTTCTTGGAAGGGGAGATGCGGGCGGCGGTGGAGGAGGCAGAGGCGCAGGGCATGTATGTGATGGCGCATGCTTACACTGCTCGTGCGATTAAGCGGGCAGTGGCTTGTGGCGTTCGGAGCATCGAGCATGGCAACGTGAGTGACAGGCAACGGTTGTGGGCAGGTGAGGGATCAGGTGGAGAGTGTACCATTTTCGCAGGGGGGAGGGGACTTATGTGATAGCACATGCGTACACTGCATGTGAGTGTGAACAGGTGAGGGATCGCTTGGAGAGCATGTAGTTCTCAGGGGGGGAGATGCAGGCGGCAGTGGGGGAGGCGGAGGCGCAAGGGACTTATGTGATGGCGCATGCCTGCACACCTCGTGCGATCAAGAGGGCGTGTGGAGTGTGGTGCTCGCAGCATTGAGCATGGCAACGTGGGTGTGAATATGAGTGTGGATATGCGTTATATGCTCGGCACATCCCCGCTGCATCATGCTGAATCTTCCACATACTGCGCTTCTCCCATGAACCGCATGCCATATCTCTCACCTGCACATCACCCCCCCTCAAGCCCCTCGTTCCCTTGCTTTCATGGCAGATGCTGGACGAGGAAGCAGCCCACCTCATGCTGCAGAGAGGAAGCTTCCTGGTGCCCACGCTGGTGACGTACGAGCGGATCAAACAGGCTGGGCAACAGAGCGGCATGGATGGCAGCATCGTTGCCAAGGTGCGCCGATTCATTCATTGGAGCCCAGTCAAAGGCTACCAAGGTCACTGCAGGTGGCGTTTTGAGTTGACTGAGAAGTCACCTTGCTGCGCGGAGCAGGTGCTGCACGAGGCACGGTCAGTGCAGGCCTCTGAGCTGAGCGCTGCTCTCCACACTGCTCTTCTCCCGTACGCTGATTGCGCGTGGCCCCACCTCACCTTCGCTCGATGCCTTCTTCCCACCAACATGTCTTTCCCTTCTCCTGTGTGAGGCAGGTGCAAGACCTGCTAGAGAGGGGGCTTGAAGCCGTGGCGATGGCCGAAAGGAAGGGCGTGCCCATAGTCTTTGGCTCGGACCTCCTGGGCCCCATGCAGTCCCACCAGCTGCAGGAGTTAGCCATCCGCAGCAAGGTGCAATCACCAGCGTCGATTCTTCGGTCTGCTACAACTGCTGCCGCACGGCTTTTTGGCATGGAAGGAGAAATCGGGGTGGTGGTGGTTGGTGCGCTCGCGGATTTGATTGTCTTGGATGTGAATCCCTTGGAAGATATAAGCATATTGACGGATTCTAATAACCTTAAGCTGATCATGAAGGAGGGGACTGTGTTTAAGAGGGATATACCGGTATAGTCTGTGTCTGCATTTGTTTTAACGTGACTTGAATGATATTGTATGAGCCAATTTGCTATTTCTGCGTTTTTGTAAAGAAAATTCCTTTTCCTTACTTCGCGTCCCTGCTCAGTGTGTACCACTGTTCCCGCCAACAGCACCTAACAGTAACTCGTTACTGTTGGAATTAAGGTTAATTCGGGTTGCTCCAATAAACATATGTAGTGGTACATCTACACTATAGTAGTGTAGAATACATTGGTTGGGTTGGGAGAACTTGTGGTGTACACTCTTTAGAGTGGACCACCTCCCAAACCCTATAGGTTAGGGTTCTCTCTTGTTGGAACTTCACTTCTTGGAAACTGTAAGGAATTTTCTCGATATTCCTTAGCGCGCCCTGCAACATCGCGTACAGCAGCAGCCGTTGTTCGCCCGTTACTGCTAACGGGGCTTCGCCAACTTCGCGCGCACTGTTTCACCAAACCTCGCACTGCTGGCCCGGCCGCGTCGGCCTACGCTTCGGGACAAGCCCGAACCTCGCTGCCAGCATAGCACTAGCTAGCTCGCACGCACCGCGTTACCGTTTGCACGTTTCGCGTATAAATGTTCGCTCATGCCTTCGCTCACATTTTGTACTCGTTTGACACCTTAGTGCAATTCTCGCTACTTCGATCCATTGCACCCGTAACACTTGGTATTCAGAGCCTCTTTCTTTTCGGACCGCTTATCTCCGCGCCTCAGGAAATCAACTTTTGATTTTTCACTCGAAGGGACTCACGCACCTTAGCCCCTAGGAGCCGCTGTCCTCGCGTTCTCTCGTAAACGCGTGCAGCCACGACTGCGCCTAGACTAAGCCGAGCCGACGCCCTTCGCAATGGCCGAGCATATCGATGTCGCCACTCTCACGCAGGAACACTTGAACGAACTGCTGCGGCAAATCCGCGAAAGCTCTGAAGAAATTGCGGCGCTGACGGCAGAACGCACGTCCCTGCAAAACGACATCGCAAGAGCACAACAAGCGCAATGTGAAACTATGAGCAGAGGAATGAATTGACTAAGTCAGAGTTGGGTACAAATACAACCCTAGCAAACTGTACCCCATATGTGCTACCCCACTATAGCCTACAAACATGCATCAGCTATAATAATCTGACACACCCCCATAGGCAAAGTGGGGGAGAACAAGGGGTCACAAGACCAGTCAAGCAAAGCAAAACAAGCTCAGGGTGGATCACAAAGTCACCACACAGTCCGAGCACAAGAGCAAGGCCAGAGGCCAGTTCACATGCAGGAGTAAAGACATATATATAAAACTAGACAAGCAAGAGCAGGTATATATATGTCAAAGTACAAATAAAGTCAAGAAGAGAGCAAGTGAGGCAAGACAGGTACAAGACCCAGCTGGGTACAAAAGCGCTGATGGTCGCAAGGCGCAAGTGCCTTGGTGAACACATCAGCAGTGTTGGCCTCAGAGGCCACGTAAGCAAGTCGCAACTGACCACGCTGCTGCAGCTCACGAGCAAGGAAGTAGCGGAGAGCAATGTGCTTCGTTCTGTGCTCCAAGCGCTGCTCTCGACACAAGGCCAACATGGCCTTGTTGTCTACGTACAGCACTGGAGGAGAACGAGGCAGCTCTCCAAGGTCAGTCAGCAGGTAGGTGAGCCAGCGAAGCTCCTGTGCAGCCATGGCCCCGGCGTAGATCTCAGCCTCACAACTGGAGCCGAGAACCGAAGACGAGCGAGTAGACCGCCACGAGACAGAGCCGGAACCAAGGCTGAAGGTGTAACCCTGTGACGACCGCTGCGTAGCCTGGTCGTCAGCCCAAGAAGCGTCTGCGTGCCCAGTAAGGACCACTGGACTCCGCCCTCCAAGCACTAGCCCCATGCCCGACGTACTGCACAGGTAGCGCAATACCCTCTTCGCTGCAGCCATGTGCTCTGGTCGGTGTCTCCCAGGAGCAACATAGCGTGCAAGGATGCTCAGAGGGTATGCAAGGTCAGGTCGAGTGCAGGTCATCAGGTACATGAGGCAGCCAACAAGCTCTGCATACGGACCACTCGACTCTACGGACTCATCCGAAGGCAGAGCTGAGAGTGAGTGGCGAGTAGGCAGAGGAGTGGCCTGAGGCGAGGAGTACGTGAAGCCGAAGCGCTGAAGGACCTGCTGCACCATGTGTGACTGAGTCAGGGTAATGGTGCGGCGTGCTCTGTCCCGAGTGATCTGCAAGCCAAGGTAGCTGCGCAGTTCACCCAGGTCTGTGCACGTGTGTCTCTTCAGCAGCTCGGACTTCACGTAGGCGAGTCCAGCAGTGTCCGCTGTGGCAAAGACCAAGTCGTCGACGTACACGAGGATGTAGAACGGCGGCAGGGAAGTGTCGGTGCGAAGAAACAGCGACGGGTCAGCAGTAGAAGGAGCAAACCCAAGAGCCGCAAGCGTAGTCCTCAGTGTGTCGTGCCACTCACGCGGTGCCTGGCGGAGACCGTAGACTGGCCGTCGGAGGCTCCACTGGGTGCCAGGAGGGAAAGTCCCAGTGAAGCCAGGCGGACGGCGCAGCCAGATCTCCTCGTGCAGGCTACCCTGCAGGAACGCAGTGCTGAAGTCGAGAGAGTGAAGCTCGTAGTCGCGCTGAGCGGCAATGTGCAGCAGCACCCGAAGAGTGGTCATCTTCGGGGTGGGAGAGAAGGTCTGAAAGTAGTCAACTCCCTGCCGCTGACTGAAGCCACGAGCCACGTAACGCGCCTTGAAGACAGGCGGCGAGCCCGGCGGCCGCTTCACCCTGAAGATCCACATGCCACTGACGATGTTCGCCCCAGGAGGGGGAACCGCGTCAACGTAGGTGCCTGTGGACTTCCAGGAAGCCATCTCTGCATCCATAGCTGCCTGCCACTGAGAGGAGTAGGGACCCTCTACGGCCTCCGCGTAAGAACGCGGAGTCGGGATGTCTAGTGCATCCGGGTCTCCCTCAGGGGCTAGCAGTACAGACGCGAGACGAGGTGAAGCAGCGGCTAGACACTGGAACTCCTCCTGCCTGTCCTCTAGGACGTCCGTGCCAAGGGCACACTCACCCCCGACGGACGGAGGACAGGCGGACTCAGACTCAGCGACAAGACGAGCAGCGTAGTCTAGACGACAGCGCGCAGCAAAGTCGACAAGCTCAGTGACAAGGGCAGACGCAGCAGACGACTCGAAGGAAGGGTCAGTGACAGCAGTAGCAAGGAGACGCGTGACAGTAGGACTGGCAGCACGAAGAGAGTCCGACTCCGGGTCGGCAAGAGCAGGAAGAGAGGAAGCAGGAGGAGAAGGCAAAGGGGCACGCAGAGGAGCAGTGGACGGACGCAGTGACATCCGGTGCGTGCCAGGGACAGGAGGAGGACGCTGACGCGACCCGCGACCACTAGCGCGCTCAGTACGAACAGGCGACGCAGGACGAGACGCAGGCTCACGACGCTCAGTAAGACCTCCAGTCGGACCAGCGTAGGGAGAAGGAGCAGGCAAAGGGGAGGCAGGCTGTAGCTGTGGCTGTGACCGGACAGGCTGCGGACCCTCTAAGGAAGGAGGAGGAGGTGTAAGACCAAGAACCTGCTGCAGGAGCGGAACGAAGTACGGTCGAGGCCGCGCGGCGACGCCAGAAACAGCAGGAACAGCACCAGCACCCCCGGCAGGAGCACCCACTCCAGCAGCACCTCCAGTAGAACCACCAGAAGCTCCAGAACCTCCAGCAGCAGCACCAGGAGCACCGTCAGTCGGACCACCAACCGCAGGCTCAGCGCCAACGTCCTCAGCAGGACCAGCTCCAGGAGAACACTCAGACCCAGCAGCTCCAGCACCCACAGGACGAGCACCGCCAGGTCGCGTGGCAGCAGCGCCCTCCGCAGCCGAAGAACCACCAGCACCAGCGGCACGCCTCCAGCGCCGGGCAAACCACTCACGCAGCTCCTGTGGAGAGAGCGGCTCCCGGTGAGACGAAGCACCCCCAGGCACAGCACCTCCAGGCTCGGCACCTCCCGGCTCAGCACCCCCAGGCTCAGTACCTCCAGACACAGCACCCCCAGGCACAGTACCCCCAGGCTCAGCACCCCCAGGCTCAGCACCCCCAGACTCCGCACCCCCAGGCTCAGCACCCCTAGACTCCGCACCCCCAGGCTCAGCTCCCGCAGCAGCACCGGAGTCACCAGGGACCTCGACAGGCTCGACCGCGTCTACCTGAGACACACCTGAAGGGGCAGGACCCTGAGGGGGGAGGGGGACTACTGGGGGGGGACCTGGTACCAAGAAGAGGGGGGGTGGGGGGAGGGACGGAGTGCGGTAGGGGAAGAGGCGGTAGTAGGGTACCGACTCGTCGAACGTGACGTCCTGGGAGGACAGAACACGTCGAGAGGTGGGGTGGTAAAACTGCCACCCAGGGGCGTCGGGGGGGAACCCCAGGAAGACGCAGGGAGAAGCACGAGGGGATAGCTTGTCCGCAGACAGGTCGCGAACAAACGCCCGAGATCCCCAGACCCGGAACGCCGACGCATCGCCAACCTTCCCCGTCCACAACAGAGCTGGGGAGGTCTCCGGTCGAGAGACCCTGGGGTGGAGGTTGATCTGGTGCGCAGCGTACCTGACCGCAAACGGCCACAGAAAATGGGGAGCAGCCGCATGCATCATGGACGTACGAGCGACGTCCATGACCATGCCAATGCGGCGCTCAGCGATCCCATTCTGCTGTGGTGAGTCCGGAAGCGTGAAGGTCTGACGGATGCCTCGCACACGACAGTAGGTACTCAGGAGGGCCGAGGAGAACTCTCCGCCTCTGTCCGAGTGCAGACGCAAGACAGGGAAGTCAGAGCCAAAGCTTCTCCGAAGCTGAAGACGAGCTGCGCGGATCCAGTCGATCAACACCTGAGTGACCTCACCCTTGCTGCGCAAGGGGAAGACTGTGGTGTAACGCGAGTAGTCGTCAACCACTAGCAGGAAGTAGCGCTCCTGACCCTGTCCACGGACGCGGGCTGGGCCCCACACGTCCATGTGAAGCGTCTGCAACGGGGCCTCTGTCGGAGGAAACTGGGAGGAGTGAGGGGCAGCACGCTGGCGCCCCTCGACACAGGGGACACAGGCAGGGCCAGGGCCCGGAGGAAGGGGAGGGAGGGACCGGGGAAGACCAGACACAAGGACCCGCGAGGCCATGCCTCTGAGCCGAAGCAGAGAGGGGTGGCCAAGGCGGTGGTGCCAGAGGAGGGTCTCGTGAGACAGACGACGACACGAACAAGGGGCAGACTCAGGACCAGACCTGGACGCTGCAGCAAACACCTGACCAGACGAAGGGGCCCTACCAGACGCAGTACCTGGAGGAGAAGCAGTGGTCAGTGTGTACAGGCTCGATCCCGGCCGACGTGTAAACGTAGCCAGGTGGCGACCTGTATCCGCCTCCGTACAGTGGGTCACCCGCTGACGAGCAGGGGTGAACTGGTGGACACCTGCATCCTGGAGGTCAGCACCACTCACCAAGTTCGTCGAGAACGAGGGGAGGTAGAGACCAGTCAGGGTGCCAGAGGGGGCCGCCGGACACGGGAGGACAGTGGAGAAGCGAGACAGGACAGGCCCCCCAGAGGGGTCCGCCAGGGACACCGCAACCGGCCGACTCAGCGGCGTGAGAGTGGTGCGGTCCCTAAAGAAGGAGCGAGACGCTCCAGAGTCAAGGGTGAAGGTGTGAGAGGCCGAAGCCGACACAGTACCTGAGAGGGCGGACTCACCAGTACCTGAAAGCACAGACGCACTGGCACCTAGAGCAGCAGCTGCACTAGTACCTGACGCGGCAGTACCAATGCCCGGGTCGGGCGGGAAACACCGGTAACAGTCATCCTCATCACTACCAGTCACAGCATACATAGCAGAGAGAATAGCATCAAAATCAAGATCATAAATAGCTACACCAGCCCTAGACAGCTCTCCCCAGCGGGGGATCTCAGCGGCCTCCGGAAACTGCTGACGCCAGGCGTCGGTCAGGCGGCCAAAGCAGCGACGGGCTGTGTGGGCGCCTCCACACCTCTCCCCTGCACGGTCACCAGTGCGAAGAACGTAGGGGCAGGGACCAAGCGCACCACCGCGCTGACGCTGCAAGTACCACTCACGGAGCTGCTGAGGGCCGGGGACGGTGCGAGAGCGCTGCTGCTGCTGCGGCTGCTGCTGTGGCTGCTGCTGCTGCTGCTGCTGGCGCTGACCACCCCCAGAGCTGCTCCGCTGGGACGAGCCACTCCGACCCCCTCCTCCACCGCCACCCCCGCCTCCACCGCCACCCCCGTCGCCACCGCCACCTCCCCCACCAGGACCGTCGCTCCCACCGCTCCCACCGCCTCCTCCGCTACCACCTCCGCCGCCACCTCCGCCTCCACCGCCGCCACTACTACCTCCACTCCCGCCACCACCCCCCCCGCCACCCCCACTCCCCCCTCCACCCCCACCGCCTCCTCCACCGCCCCCTCTGGCTCCACCCGCTCCCTTGCCCCCCTTGCCCTTGCCAGTGCGGCGTCTGCCACTGAGGGCAGACGCCGCGTAAGGGGCAGGCGGCGGGGCCGCAGGGGAGAGGGCGACCCGAAGGGTCGCTAAAAACAAAAAAGGGCGCGCCTCGGGGGGCGCGCTTCGGTGGGCCCAAAAAAAAAAAAAAAAAATTCGGTCCTGGAGGGACCTAGCTCTGATACCATGTGAAACTATGAGCAGAGGAATGAATTGACTAAGTCAGAGTTGGGTACAAATACAACCCTAGCAAACTGTACCCCATATGTGCTACCCCACTATAGCCTACAAACATGCATCAGCTATAATAATCTGACACGCAATCCCAAGCACCTGGCACTCCGATATAGCCCGCACCACAGACATCGCAACATGGAAGCGTGGGGCAACCCGTGAGCGCGGCCAGTGATGGCGTCGTCCGCCACGACGGAGACGACGGCCACGGCACGACACACCCCGACGCGACGAATGCGGCCAGAAGTCAGCCTCGAGTCACAGTTTCTGTGCCGGCCGGCGAATCGACTCTACCGTCGCCGATGCCGCTGAAGCCGCAGCGTCTGCCATGCTTTGACCCGAGTCAGCGGGGTGGTCCTACCATTCAGGCGTGGCTCTTCACGTTGAATGTCTTCTTCGACGCGAACTACGTCTCGGAGGATACGGCGAAGATTCGCTACGCCGTGTCGCTGCTGTGAGGACCCGCTATGGACTGGTGGCGTGTCATCGTCACGAAGCCGGTGCACTACGCGACTCTACCGACACGGGAAGGACAAACCGGACCCTGGGTGCCGTCGTATTTCGTGGAGGTGCCCCAGTATCGCACGTGGGACGCGTGGTGCGCAGGTCTACGCGCTCGTTCCGAGCCAATTGCGGCTTCGATCGCGGCGCGACAGAAGCTCCGCACTTGGCGCCAACTCGGTTCCGTCCAGGACTACACGAGCGGATTTCTGGCGCTATGCGAGCAAGTAGGCTACATGCACGATAGCGAGCGCATCGACCGCTACATCGGCGGCTTGAAGCAGGACATCGCTCAGGAAATCCAGCTTCGCGGCGTCACCGATTTTCAAGAAATTCTCGCTATGGCGGAGAAACTTGACTTCTTCCGCCAACCGAGACCGGGGTCCTACGGAAGCAGCAACTTGGGACATCGGTCTCGTGGGCGAACGTGTCAAAGTATATATATATGCTATATATGTTTAGGCTATAGTGGGGTAGTCAATATGGGGTACAACCCCTTTTAGGGTTTCATACTTGTACCCAACCCTTTCATAGTCCATTCATTCCTGCTGCTAGTTTCTAACATGGTTTCAGAGCACTAGGTCCGTAGGACCGTCTTTTTTTTCCGGGCCCACCAACCGTTGCAGTTACCACGCTACCCCACGTGTTGCTTGCCTTGCCTTGTGACGTGCTGCGCTGCGCGCGCCGTCCTGCAGCCCTCGCGCTCCCTACTGCTGCCCTAGGCCAGCGCGCCGCCCCTACAGGCCCCTAAGGACCGCGCGCCGCCCCTGCAGACTCGTACGGCCCGCACGTCGCCCCTGCAGGCCCGTCAGGCCCGCGAGCCTCCCCTCCAGGCCCGTCAGGCCCGCGAGCCGCCCCTGCAGGCCCGTCAGGCTCGCGAGCCGCCCCTGCAGAACCGTCAGGCCAGAGCGCCGCCCCTCCTCGCGGCCACGACCTGCCACTGACGCGGCCCCACCTGGCCCCGCCCTGCAGCAGCTCGCGCGCGGCTCGCTGCTGCTCCGCGTGCCACGTCCGCAGCCCGCGCTGCGTGCTGCAGCCCCGCGCGTCGCATTGCAGCCCCGCGCGTCGAGCTGCAGCCTCGAGCGTTGCGCTGCAGCCCCGCGCGTCGCGTCAGCTGCTCGCACGTCGCGCTGCAGCCTCGCGCGTCACACTGCAGCCCCGCGCGTTGCGTCAGCTGCCCGCACTTCGCAATGCAGCCCCGCGCGCCGCGGCTGCCGTCCTCGCGCAGCCCGCGGCAACTTCGCGCGCCGCGCCCGCAGCTCGCATTGCGCGCTTCAGGCCCGCGCGCCGCGGCTGCCCCTGGACCCTCGAGCAGCCGCCCCTGGACCCAAAGCAGCCGCCCCTGGCCCCTGCAGCAGCCGCCCCTGGTGCAGCCGCCCCTGGACTCTCGAGCAGCCGCCCCTGGACCCAGAGCAGCCGCCCCTGACTCCTACAGCAGCCGCCCCTGGTGCAACCGCCCCTGGACCCTCGAGCAGCTGACCCTGGACCCTGAGCAGCCGCCCCTGGCCCCTGGAGCTGCCGCCCCTGGTGCAGCCGCCCCTGGACCCTCGAGCAACCGCCCCTGGACCCAGAGCAGCCGCCCCTGGCCCCTGAAGCAGCCGCCCCTGGTGCAGCCGCCCCTGGACTCCGTGCAGCCGCCCCTGGACCCCGCGACGCCGCCCCTGGATCCGCGACGCCGCCCCTGGACCCGCGACGCCGCCCTTGGACCCCGTGCAGCTGCCCGCCGAGTGCCGGCCCTGGTCGCCCGGCGAGCGCCTGCTCTTCCCACCACTGGTGAGCACCTGCCTTGTTAGCGCACTGCCTGCCTGCTAGCCTGCCTGCCTGCCTGCCAGCCTGCCTGCCTGCCTGCCAGCCTGCCAGCCTGCCTGCCTGCCTGTCTGCCTGCCTGCCTCCCTACCTACCTGCCTACCGCGCCTGCCCTGCCCGCGCTGCTGCTGCTACTACTGCCACCACCACTGCTACTGCTGCTACTGGCGGTGGCCAGATGCAGCTCCAGTGACGTCCGCGCGAGTCTCTCACGCCCCAGCAGCTTCGTGAGTGGTACGCTAGTTGGGGTTGTGGCGATAGCCGTCGTGGCTGTCGCCCGGGAGCTGGTCAGTCGGGAGCGTCTGGCAGTGGCCAGCTGCAGCTGCAGCAGCGTCCGCGCGAGACTCTTACGCCCCAGCAGCTTGGTGAGTGGTACGCTCAGAGTAGAGGGTCTTTGAGTACCGTTCGCTGCCCGTACGTCGTTCGCACAGGTGATCGGATGGGTCAGGCTTGTAGGACGCTTAGTCACATACAGATCCGCTGCTTCGCCCGTCTGAGCGACGCCTGGCGTACCGAGTTTGGCGACGAGGCTGAGTTCCCCGACTAGCTGGAGCTGCTTAGGCAGAGGGTAGATATATTTTCTCTTGACTATGATGCTATTCTCACTGCCATGTATGCATTGCCTACTAGTGCTGACCGTGCCTGTTACCTGTGCGTACCGCCTGACCCAGGTATAGAGCCTGCTGCTCTAGGTGCTGCTCTAGGTGCTACTGCGTCTCCTGCTCTAGGCGCTGGTGAGGCTGCTGCTCCAGGTGCTGGTGAGTCTGCTCTCTCTGGTACTGCGCCTGCTGAGGCCTTGTACACCTTCACGCTTGACTCCGGTGCTTCTCGCTCCTTCTTTCGCGACAGAACCACCCTCACGCCGCTCAGTCGGCCGGTTCCAGTCTCCTTGGCAGACCCCTCTGGGGGTCCAGTCCGTGCGACCTCCTCCACTGTCCTCCCTTGTCCTGCTGTCCCGTCTGGCACACTGTCGGGTCTTTACCTCCCCTCGTTCTCTACGAACTTGGTGGCGGGTTCTGCGCTCCAGGACGTGGGTTTTCACCAGTTCACCCCTGCCTACGAGCGTGTGACACACTGCACGTGTGCTCAGACGGGTCGTCACCTGGCTACCTTCACTCCGCAGCCGGGGTCGGGCCTGTACACACTGACCACTGAGTCCCCTCAGGTAGCTATGTCTGCGTCTACGTCAGGCTAGTTGTCGGCCCCCTGCTCGTGTCGCGCCTTGTCGCTCCAGACCCTCCTTTGGCACCACCGCCTTGGTCACCCCTCGGTGCAGCGCCTTCGCAGCATGCACCGCCGTGTCCTTGTCTCTGGTCTTCCCAGGGTTCTCCCTCCCCTCCCACCGTTGCCTGCTCCTCCCTGTCTTCTCTGTGTCGAGGAGCGGCAGCGCGCCGCTCCTCACTCCTCCTCGTTCCCTCCCACAGAGGCTCCCATGCAAACTCTCCACATGGACGTGTGGATCCGCACTACTCGTCTCCAGCTCCGCGAGCGGTTCGGGATTGAGTTTCCTGTCCTACGTCTGCACTCTGAAAGAGGTGGGGAGTTTTCCTCCGACCTCTTGGCAACCTACTGTGCGGAGCACGGCATCCGCCAGACGTTCACGCTTCCGGCCTCTCCGCAGCAGAATGGGGTTGCTGAGCGCCGCATTGGCTTAGTCATGGAGGTCGCTCATACCTCCATGATCCATGCGGCTGCCCCCCATTTTCTGTGGCCATTTGCGGTCCGGTACGCCGCGCATCAGCTCAACCTCTGGCCCCGTGTCTCCTTGCCAGAGACCTCGCCCACACTGCTGTGGACGGGGAAGGTTGGCGATGCGTCGCGTTTCCGGGTCTGGGGTGCTCGTGCCTTTGTCTGCGATACCACAGCGGACAAGCTCTCCGCCCGCGCTGTTCCCTGTGTCTTCCTTGGCTTTGTCCCTGACGCACCTGGTTGGCAGTTTTACCACCCCATCTCGCGCCGTGTCTTCCCCTCTCAGGATGTCACGTTCGACGAGCCGGTTCCCTTTTACCGTCTCTTCCCATACCGCACTGCCCCTCTCCCCCCCCCGCCGCTCTTCCTCACGCCAGGTGCTCCCCAGGTAGACCCCCTCCCCGCTCCCGGTCCTGCTCCTTTAGGTGTGTCTCAGGTAGAGCCTCCTCCCTTGACTGCGCCGGTTGAGGTCACTGGTGACTCAGGTCCTGCTGAGGGTGGTCCTGCTCGAGGTACTGCTTCTGGGGGTGCTGAGCCTGGGGGTGCGGAGCCTGGGGGTGCTGAGCCTGGGGGTGCGGAGCCTGGAGGTGCGGAGCCTGGGGGTGCGGAGACTGGAGGTGCTGAGCCTGGACGTGAGGAGTCTGGGGGTGCTGAGCCTGGGGGTACTGAGTCTGGGGGTGCTGCACCTGGGGGCGCTGAGGCGTCTGGTGAGCAGTCTCCCTGGGGCGGCCGTCTCCGCAGTCGCTCTGCTGGTACCTCACCGCTGCACTCTCCTCGTCGACTCCCTCTCTCCCCACAGCAGCTGCGTGAGTGGTACGTTGGCCGTCAGGGTCGGGCTGCTGGAGCTAGGGGCCCTGCTGCGGGAGGCACTAGTGCTGGTGTCTCTGCTACTGGAGTTGTTTCTGCTGGAGGTTCTGGAGCTGCTGCGGGTGTTGGAGCTGGAGGTTCTGGAGCTGCTGAGGGTGCTGGCGCTGGAGGTTCTGGAGCTGCTGCGGGTGCTGGCGCTGGAGATTCTGGAACTGCTGCGGGTGCTGGCGCTGAGGGTTCTGAGTCTGCTGTTGCGCGGTCTCCTTGGAGTAGCTGCCTTCGTCCGCGTGTGCCTCTCACCTCACAGTAGCTGCACGACTGGTACGGTCGCCGTCAGGGTCGCGCTTCTGGAGCTCGGGGCTCTACCGCTGGAGGTACTTCTGCTGGCGTCACTGGAGCTGGGAGTGGTGCTGGTCCCGTCGGTGCTAGTACTGGAGGTACTTTAGCTGCTGGGGCTGGAGGTGCTGAGCTTGAGGGTGCTCCTGCTGGAGACCTTGGGTCTGGGGGTGCTGCTACTGGAGACACTGAGTCTGGAGACCCTGGGACTGGAGGTGCCGGTTCTGGGGGTGCTGCTGCTGGTGGAGCTGGTCCTGGAGGAGCTGGCGGTGAGGGTTCTGGAGCTGCTGGGGGTACTGGAGCTGCTGGTGCTGGTGGCGCTGCACAGCCACGCCTGTTCTTCGCTCCACCGTCTTCGTCGTCTCAGCCACCGTCTGACTCTGTGCTTCCCCAGGTTCTTAGTCTCCCTTCGTCTACTGGTCTTCCATTACAGCCTGGCTCACCGCTGCCTGTTCCTTCTCCATACATTGAGTAGACAGGGGATTTTACTGAGCGTCGTGAGCCTGCCTCGCGTCCTGTCTCGCTTGTCCGTTCTGGTCGTTCCGGTCGTCGTGTTCCTCGTTCGCGTCAGCCGGCTGTCCCCGGCACCCACCTCATAGTCTGTCGTCCTTCCTCTCCTCCGCAGCGTGTGCCCCTGCCGTCCCCTCCTGCGTCTTCTCTGCCTACCGTTCCCGAGCCTGAGTCTGACCGCACCCGTGCTGCTCACTCTACTGTCACACGTCTGCTAGCCACAGTTGTCACTTACCCGTCGTTTGAGTCTGCTGCTGCGTCTGCCTTAGTCCCTGAGCTTGTTGAATTTGCTGCTGCCCGTCGTCTAGGCTACGCCGCTAGTCTTGTTGCTGAGTCTGCGTCTGTCGTCTGTCTGTCCTCCGTCCGTCGGGGGTGAGTGTGCTCTTAGCACGGACGAACGAGGGCTGCTCCTGCTGGGGCGGCTGCTCCAGGGGCTGCTGCTGCTGGGGCGGCTGCTGCTGGGGCGGCTGCTCCAGGGGCTGCTGCTGCTGGGGCGGCTGCTCCAGGTGCTGCTGCTGCTGGGGCGGCTGCTCTAGGGGCTGCTGCTGCTGGGGCTGCTGCTGGTGGGGCGGCTGCTGCTGGGGCGGCTGCTCCAGGGGCTGCTGCTGCTGGGGCGGCTGCTCCAGGGGCTGCTGCTGCTGGGGCGGCTGCTCCAGAGGCTGCTGCTGCTGGGGCGGCTGCTCCAGGGGCTGCTGCTGCTAGGGCGGCTGCTGTAGTAGCGGCGGCTCCAGGGGCTGCTGCTGCTGGGGCGGCTGCTCCAGGGGCTGCTGCTGATGGGGCGACTTCTCTAGGGGCTGCTGCTGCTGGGGCGGCTGCTCCAGGGGCTGCTGCTGCTGGGGCGGCTGCTCCAGGTGCTGGTGCTGCTGGGGCGGCTGCTCTAGGGGCTGCTGCTGCTGGGGCTGCTGCTGCTGGGGCGGCCGCTGCAGTGGCGGCGGCTCCAGGGGTTGGTGCTGCTGGGGCGGCTGCTCCAGGGGCTGCTGCTGCTGGGGCGGCTGCTCCAGGGGCGGCTGCTGTTGCAAGGCAGGCCGCTCCAGGGGCGGCTGCTTCAGGGGCGGCGGTTCCAGGGGCGGCTGCTGCAGCGGAAAGTAGGAGGGAGGGAAGGGGAAGGGCGCGGCCCCCATTGTGCCCTGACGGGCGATGTGCTAGGGAGCCGCGCAGGTCCCCAAAAGTGCCTCGACTGGCAACGAGAGGGGACCGCGCGCAGGCCCCTAAGGCGCCGCGACGAGGCAACGGGAGGGGCCGGCTCGCGGGCCCCAAAAGTGCCGCGACGAGGCAACGGGAGGGACCTGCGTGCGGGCCCCCAAAACGCCTCGGCGAGGCGACGGTCAGGGCCAGTGCGCGGGCCCCTAAGACGCCGCGACGAGGTAGGAACCCGCCGCGCGCCTCGGGGCGCACGGCGGGCAGAAAACCGCCACGCGCTCGGAGCGCGTGGCGGGAAGAAAAATGGGATGTCGCGCGCCACGGGGCGCGCGACACACAGTAGGGCAGCGGAATCGAGTGGGTCCACAGGCCAGGAACGTTAAGCTCTGATAACATGACAAAATACTAGCGTGAGTTAGGCTTAGGAACCATAGTTTAGGAGCCTTGGTAGTTGAGTTCGAGAGTTTTAGGAAAAGTATCGAGAGGTTTTGGAAGGAGAGGAATGGGGTTTCACTAGCAAGAGTTGGGATGCAAGTACAACACCCTAAATTGGGTTGTACTCATTACAGAGTACCCCACTGCAGGCTAGACAGCAAATACATTCTGACAATACGTGCCGTCGCCGCGAATGCCGCTGCCGCACCATTCAAAGGGCGCTACTTTGCGTGCAATCGGCCGGGACACCGTAAGAGCGAATGCCCGGAAAACGCTAAGGGAAAGGGGGAAGCTGAGCAGCAGAAACAGACCAAGCAGCAGGGAAACGCTGGGAGTCAGTAGCAGACGGGCCCTCTACTGACAGGTCACGCCGTTCGCCCGACCGAACCGACCCTCACCGAGTGATTGTGCCGGTTCACGCAATCAACCACACCCGGCCGAATAAGGAAGGTACTACGGTAGACAGCCCCATACTGCTTAGTGGGAAAATCGGGACCGACTTAGTTGAAATCTTTGTAGACGGGGGAGCCAGCCACAGCCTTATCAACATTGCCACAGCACGGAAACTGAGACTGCCACTAGACAGATGTTTACCTTAGATCGACGCAAGACTGGTTGACGGCACGCAACTGGCGATACGGCAACGTGTGGACCGGGTTCGGATTCGATGCGGGGGTAACTTCACGTTTAGCCAGGAAATGCTCGCAACAACCCTCGACGGAATCGACATTTTACTCGGTCGTGATTGGATACGACGACACAATCCGCGAATCGACTGTACGACGGGTGACTGCACCGTGCGAGTAAACGGTAACAACATCGCCTTACCTCGCTGGGGCTTGCCTGAGTCTTCGTCGGTGCGTGTCAACGCGGTCACGATGAAATGCGCCGTAGCGGCAGGAGCTGACGTGTATGCGGTTGACATTCGGGAAGCCGAGGCAGCAGACAAAGGAGGGGATTTACCGAAACTGCTAGCTGACATACCGGATGACTTGGCAGCACTACTGTAGCTGACATACCGGATGATCTGCCGATGGGACTGCCACCTCAGCGACTGCACGACCACAGGTTAGAACTAGAACCGGGGGCACAGCCGACAGTACAGCGACAATTCCGACTGACCCAACCCGAACTGGACAAATTGAGAAAGCAGCTAGATTACCTGCTTGAAAAGGAGTTCATTCGTCCGAGTTCGTCACCCTTCGCAGCACCGATACTGTTCACGCCGAAGAAGGACGGGGGTTTTCGCATGTGCATAGACTACATGGCACTAAACAGGGTTACCATTAAATCCCGTTACCCCATCCCGCGAGCCGGCGAACTGATCGACCAACTGCGCACAGCCCGGGTTTTCTCGAAAATCGACCTTAGGGGAGGTTACCACCAGATTCGCGTCAACCTACCCGACTGCCCCAAGACAGCCTTCCGAACACGCTACGGATCGTTCGAATACACCGTCATGCCCTTCGGACTAACCAACGCCCCTGCTACTTTTCAAATGACCATGAACGAAGCCTTCCGCCCGCTTTTAGATAAGTGCGTCATCGTTTATCTTGACGACATACTGATTTACAGCCCCGACAGAGCACAACACATACAGGACATCGAAGCAGTTTTTAAAATACTGAGTGAGAACCACCTACTGACCAAAGCGTCTAAGTGTGAGTTTTTACAGGACCGACTGGAGTTTTTGGGACACATTATTTCAGCCGTAGGAGTGGAAATAGACCCGAAGAAGATCGCGACAATTCAAGCATGGCACGCGCCGACCAACTTGACCGAGTTGCAGAGTTTTCTGGGGTTCGTCAACTACGTGCGACGGTTCGTCCCCGACATGGCGAAGCTGACTGCCCCGTTGACCGACCTGCTGAGGAAGGGGGTTGAGTACACTTTGGGGGAGAAAGAGCAAGCTGCCTTCTCGGCCCTCAAAAATATTTTGCGCTTGCCGCCCGTGCTTCACATTGCAGATCCGCACCGTCCGTTCGAACTCGTCACCGACACTAGCGACATCGCTGTGGGAGCAGTACTGTTGCACGACTTAGGGAACAGCCTCCAGCCAATCGCGTACGAGTCCCGCAAGCTTCACCCGCCAGAACGCAACTACCCGATACACGACCGCGAGATGGTGGCGATCATGCAGGCGTTCAAGGTGTGGCGATGTTACCTCACGGAAGCAGACGTGACAGTACGGACAGACTACCGATCTCTACAGTACCTTCGCGCCCAGCCGAATCTCAACCCACGACAGATCCGCTGGTTGGACTATCTGGAGTCCAACTTCCACTACATTAAAAAAAGTGGAAGTATGGAATGTATGACCGTCTAGTGGAAGTTGGACTGTGCATCAGCGATGTTGGATGCGCCTTTTTTGTATGTCCATACATTCCAACCACAAGGCAACTGCCTCGTCGCCGCCCGCCATCCATGACTGGCCCTGCAACGGAGCCGATCATCGAGCCCGAAAAAATATGAGCCATCGGATTCGACACCCCACCGGAATCAGGAGGATTGAATTCCTCATTCGTTGGAAGGACCGCATGGCAACTGAGGATAGCTGGGTGCCCCTGGCCAACATCGAAAACCACCCTGCCCTGCAAGTGTACCTGAGGACCCGGGGTTTCCGCGATATACACGCACTCGCGTAGCGGAGGGGGCTTCTTGAGGAGGGGGGGGTAGTGTAAGGAATTTCTCGATATTCCTTAGCGCGCCCTGCAACATCACGTACAGCAACAGCCGTTGTTCGCCCGTTTACTGCTAACGGGGCTTCGCCAACTTCACGCGCACTGTTTCACCAAACCTCGCACTGCTGGCCCGGCCGCGTCGGCCTACGCTTCAGGACTAGCCCGAACCTCGCTGCCAGCATAGCACTAGCTAGCTCGCACGCACCGCGTTACCGTTTGCACGTTTCGCGTATAAATGTTCGCTCATGCCTCCGCTCACATTTTGTACTCGTTTGACACCTTAGTGCAATTCTCGCTACTTCGATCCATTGCACCCGTAACAGAAACCACTTTGGTTCTAGCATTGTTCATGCCTTAAGTTGGCAGATAAAGGCGTGCAACACACCGTTGGAAAGCCCTCAATACGACTATAGTTGCCTCGGGGTCGTCAAAAATTGACGAGCGGATCGGACGCAATTCGCTGAATACAGTCGGCGGACAAATTGGAAAATCGCGAATCGGAGAAGATTCAAAGCGCGGAAAAAAGATTGGAGGGCAGACGCCGACAGAAGAGGTCAGGGCGCATCGAACAAGCCAAAAATCGGGAGAAATGGCCAAGTCTTCGTTGACGAAAAATCGGCCAACTTCGACGAGTTGAAACGGCCAGCTCGGATGCGCGATCTAGCAGCGCGATGTGAAGAAATGAGGAATAAATGAACTAGCACAAGATTGGGTACAAGTAGGAAACCCTAGGAAACTGTACCCTATAGTGTCTACCCCACTATAGCCTAGACAAGCTATATGATAAATGTTTGACACACCCCCATAGGCAAAGTGGGGGAGAACAAGGGGTCACAAGACCATTCAAGCAAAGCAAAGCAAGCTCAGGGTGGATCACAACGTCACCACACAATCCGAGCACAAGAGCAAGGCCACAAGGCCAGTTCACATGCAAGATCATATATAAAGGTAAACAAGCAAGTGCAAGTATAGAAAGATCACAGTACAAGCAAGGTCAAGAAGTAAGCAAGTGAGGCCAAGTAGGCACAAGACCTAGCATCGTACAAAAGCGCTGATGATCACCAGGCGGAAGTGCCTTGGTAAAGATATCAGCAAAGTTGGCCTGAGAGGCCACGTAAGA